TGCTCTCTGATCATAAGTCCAGGGATTTCTATATCTTCAGACATACTCCCACGATAATCACCAGTGTCATTTTCTGGCTGACTGTTCATTTTGTGTGCACATACAATGTATGGTACTATATTTGGATTAGACAATATATTTTTCATGTTGACATTACTCCAGCGCAGATACCGCCCAGGATCAACTGCCAAATGGTGTACTGGTAGGCACACTGCCACATATTTCCAATGCTGTTCAAATATCACACATGTTCACACCTGGGTCTAAAGTGTTATATTTCCACTTTCCATATAACATGAAAGGACCCAACATGAGTAGCTGATATTTTATTGTCACATGTAAAAGGAAACAGTTGCAGCAAATGAGAGTACTCCCAAAGTCATATTATTGACTAGAGATCCATAAAAGGACAGCCATATATTGGCTCAGAAGTCCATTGTAATATGGCCTCTTCACTGTTGCTTAGTAAGCAATGCAAGTCTGCATTATTTCCATGGCAACCATGACTTCTTCTGAGCCCAATCAGGAAGAAATCACAGCATACACTGCAATATGAGTGATAGTAGACATTGCACAAACAGACACCACTGTCAATACATTTTTGCCCATATGAACAAGCCAAGAGCTGCCTATTCTATCTTCACATACCAAGGGCCATTGCATGAGAATAGGATGATGGTAGTGCATACAGACATTAGATATGCTCCAGGCAAAAATTATATGAGCAATTAACAACCAAGCATAGCACCATCATACTGTATAATTGGCACTGCTTCATATTGATACAATCAGTCAAAGACATGCTTATACTGGACTGGGACAATAGAGCTGTAGACATCAGGCTGTGAACTCTGCATCAGCACATCTGAGATGTACTGTCATGCATTGGCCTACAACAGTCAGCATGATGTCATGGGATCATCTGATTTTATCTCATTTCCTACCATTTATCTAGCATTGCAGAGACCATCAAAGCATTTGATCACCTATGTGTGGTGTCCCTACTTTATGACATTGCTAGCCTATAGACTTTCTAGCAACAGTAGTAGATGCACAACTTGTACAATGTCTTTCTATCACTTTCTAGGATCAGTACAGTGTCATAAAGCTCTGCGAACCCATAATATTAATAGCTATGCCATTCACATGTGAGACAGAGCCAATATTATGAACATACTCAGCATTAACTGTGGCCTTTGTGCCACAGGTGTTCACCATTTTCTGCATATGCCATTGCCTGCCAAAGGGTTTAGACATGAGCCAATCAATACTTATAGCAAGCAGTACAAGGTGAGTGGACTCATACAGAATATTCCCTTGTTTTATCCACATTTTCTGAGCCCAGACACAGCAGATAACTCGGACTTTCCATTTTGAGAAGGTCAGGTACCACATATGGCATGTTTCATTCAGGTCTCATATAGCCACACAATCCATAGGCAGTTGGCAAGCATCACAGGAAACACAAACAAAGTGAAAGAACCAGTGTGTACAGAGGTATATGTATTTTATTTTGCTTTGTGAATGGTGGGTGCCATGTTTATATGAGTCCATGGGAAGGCATACTATGTACACAGCGGACAAATCACCTTGTGAGAAATGCTTACATAGCGCTCACAAACCAGGAGTGAGTATTTTATTAGGACTCGGTGTGAGGGGTTCTAACATAGGAAATGCACTTCCCTTGTAAGGCCTAACATTGCTTATGTTTGGAAGTCCGCAATGTTAGTATCTATGTTCTTTCCATGTTCGGGCTTTCACGCTATGCACTGTCTCTTTACTTTCAATGCGAGGACTTCTAACTTTGCGACTAAAATAAGTACTCAATCCTCCTTTGTAAGCGACATGTAGGCACGTCGTACAAAGGGTTTTGTCCGCTGTGGTACAGCCTCTCTGACATCATATACATGACTGGGAATATTCCCAATTGTTTTTGATTTTTTGGGAGACCATAGCACAGCAAATACATTGTCACTAATGAGCTTGTGGCTTGCATTCAAACTCAGCCCAATAGCCTGCCTTTGCAGGGCCTATTGAAGAGTTGAACTGAACAGAATAGCCTGGGATCCTGTCCGGAGCTGCCAGTCCCTGAGAATTCCAGGTGATAATGGTGCTTACAAGATGGACCAAGACTCATTGAAAGAGTGGCTTGTATCAGGCTATGCATGGGAAACTCTGCATTATTATATGTTTTCTGCCATATGGCCTCAACAGTCAACCCAATACAAATCCATAGTACTATCTATTTTTTCTCTTATTTTCCTGCTATTTATCCAGTCCTGCAGAGGCCATGCATGGCCAACCTCCCAAATGGGCAGGGGACTAACCATATATGGCAGTTTTGTATGTTTGATATCCTCCACCTCACAGAGCCCATACATGTGGAACTGTCTTGTACAAGCATCATACACACACCAACATTTGCTTATATCCCCAGTATCACTTGCCAAGGTCAGTACTCTGTGAAAAACAACAAGAACACCTAATCTGGGCACCCTTGTCAGCACTCAAGGGGCATCTCATGGAGAAGCAATATTTTGGGATTTTTCTGCATTTAATGGGGTTCTAGTAAGAGCTCAGTTAGTGTGGCTTGAAGCCATCAAAAAACTCGGCATGAAGAGCTGAGACCGAAAGATTACTTTAAAAGGGAACATTTGTCAGCATTTTAGCCAATGGGAGTGCTCCAAAATCCCCTTTGAGTGACCGGAGTCGTCGACAGGCCGGAATTCCGGCCTGTCGACGACTCCGCTTCGGCAACGGGCGCCTAATCGAGCGCTTAGTAAGCGATGTAAGTGCACACTGTTACTGCAGCACAATTCACTTGTTTTGGGGTCAAGAAAATGCGGATTAATCAGACAATATTCCAGGATATATGTGGAGCATCCCTGAGCATATTTACAAGTGGAGAATATTGCCTATATGGTCATTCAGTGCTGAGACATCAAAACACGCATGTTATTACCATTTTTCCCCACCAATAGCTGTGCTGTGCAACTTCCAGACACATCCATGCATTGTAAACTATGCACATATCTATACAGGTCACAGGCAATGTGTTTCAGAGACAACAAGCCATTCATATCTGCACAGTCACTTGTGATTCTCTAAATGTTGTCCTTTGTTCTTCATTCCTCCAATTTATGATCAACCCTTGAAATGATGGGCTATCAAATGAGTTTATCATCTCTATAACCTCTATAAGAGTTGATTAGATGTCAGTCAGTGTATCCCAGTCAAATGCCACATTCATGCATGTGTTTCTCTGTTTCCTGAATTTCAAACAACTGGGCAAGTCATACTAGTGATATATTGTGGGGGCCTCCATACAAGATGAATTGCCTTCATATACAAGGCAATACAGATGAGTCTGATTACACATAATATTCCCTGATTTTATCTGCATTTTGTGAGCCCAGACTGAGCAGGTTAAGCAAAATTACCATTTTAGGAAGGTCAGCTACCCTATTTAGCAGGTTTGAGATGTCAGAGAATCTGTGGGCAGCATATAGGCTTCAAAAGAGAGACTTTTGAGGTGAAAATGTATGCACTCATGTGCACAGAGGCATTTGCATGTTTTTTTTGTTTTGTGAGTTGTGCCATGACCAGTGAAGGTAATGGGCAAGTCACAGCAGCTATAGACTCTATGACATCATACCTATCACAGAGATTATTTTGGGAATTTTCCGCATTTTAGTGAGGCCACAGTACAGCAGGTACAGTGCCACTAAGGAGCCTGTGGCTGAGATCCAAACTCAGCTCAAAACCTCGGCAGCCTGCCTGATTAGGGCAGAAAAGGGGCTTGTTGCACCAATCAGAGCAGCTCGGCATCCCTCTCGTGCCGTTCGGAGGTGCAACCGTGCCAAATGTCCGCACGGTTGCACCTCCGAATGGCATCTGGGCGCTTGATGGGCGCTTAGTAAGCGATGTAAGTGCGGACTGTGACTGTGCTTAAGAGAGCTTGTTTAGACTCAGAAAAAAGGGGAAAATTGAGACAATATTCAAAATGATCCAGGCAATGTGAATGAAGCTGTATATTGCATGGGTTCGACATCAGATCAGATAGCATTCTCAATAACCTAGTAAGATGGTTGCTGTGGCCCCAGTGAGCTTATATAAGCCTGCTACTTCACTCTTGGAACTGCTCATGTACTGGACAACCCTATAAGATGGTAGTGTATGTACACATTCAGGTATGTATCCCTAGATTGTGTCTGTGAGCAAGACAAAGCCAGCAGTGGATGCATAACTACCATATGGAGTATGTGACCTTCCCAAAGAGGAATCATACACAAACAGGGGCATGTAGGGCTCAGAGAAATGCAGAAAATCTATGAAATATACAGACACATCAAAGACAAGTGTATGATTGCCTTGATTTGCAATGGTTACCATTACATTAGGCACTGGAGGGAAAGAATGAAGCACAACGCTGCTCGGATACTTCAGAAGTACTCACATAGTCATAGTATTCCCCGAAGTGATCCTTATCCAGGCAGAGCACCGTAACGTGGTTGATGTTTGGGGCTATGGGGCACGGTGTTGCGTATCTGCAGTTGGCTTCAAATCCGTAAAGTGTGTCGTCGGCAATTATGGAGAGAAGACGACTGTCAACGATCGGCGATGCAACCATAGTGAGATGAAACGGGGAGTGAGCAAGTGTTGGGATGTGTCGAAGAAAGCTTGCGACCACTTTGAAGACATTTGAGTTGCAGATAATCATTTATAAGCAAGTTCTCACCTTCAAGCGCCGAAGCCACACAAGGCGCTCGGCCACATCTCAGGCGCCCAGAAGACCATTGAGATCTTGAGATGTCGCTCCGGTTTGGTGCTTTGATTCACCTGTGCGCCTCTTATGGGCCTGCCATCTTATGTCTCAGTAGGTTGTTGTTCACCACAAGCATGTAAGATTTCAATGAAAGCAATCAATACAATAGACATTACAAAATCTTAGCTTTCCCCCCACAAATTGCACCTCTTCCGTCCCTACACCCCTCTCCCATTCAGACTACAACGATGGGGTTCTCCATGTCCAAGCCCAGTTTAATGAGCTTCTCCCAGTGCACCTCCTTGCCCTCGCCTGCCCGTTGCACCTGACACCCCGGCTGTCCAGGTCGCGGACGCACTGCCACCAGACCCATGGGATCAGGCATCCTCACCACCTTCCACTCTGCCTCCAGGTATTCGCGAGGCTTGGCAAGTCCTACCGGCCAGATCCAGTCCACTTCAATGAAGTTGCACTTCATCGAGCACATGGGCAGCATTGTGAGCACTCTGGCAGCATAGTCCATCACGTACGGTGTCATCGCAATGCTCGAGAGCTTCAGCACCGGGACACTGGTGAGAGGGAGGGGAAGACGAAGACAGAAGAATCAGCTCGTCTTTGGCAGACCAAATGTCTCCAGGGCCGGGTCGTAGACGTCGAGGCTTGGGACGGGACAGGGGCCTGATCTTGGTTGTCGTTTGAACGGGTTCAGACCCAGAACAAGCTGCATTAAGAGGGGCTGAAAGCTTGGCCCTCGTATGATCATTTCCAATCCCGCATTGTTGATCTCCCCCAGGAGAGGCATGGGGATCAGAACGAACTTTGTCTGTTCGTCACCCACACGTTTGTAAGTAGTATGCAGAGATTAGAAGAGGATTGCCACGCACATCAACGTAGATCTGGGCCTCCACCAGTGCTGTCCACCCTTCCGCCCACGCACTGCTTGGGGAGAACAGGGATAAACAAGCCTTGCCCCTGTTGGTCTCTTTCCAAAACTCGCGCATCATCCCCATGTATACCCATCCGCCAAACCTCGGGGACCGCCTTTGAGTTCCTTCGCACGCTGGAGCATGAAAGCTCTCTCCTGTTCGGACGACTGGACACGACTGAGCTTCATGGGGCAACGAGAGTTGTTGGGCAATAAGCACTGAAACATGACATCATGTCAGACAGAAGTTGTGTTGATGAGTACAGACTTAAACCCCCCGATGGGTCAGTACCCCCCAATGGGTCACCTTCCATATCAGGTGATTGTATGACCAAATATGGAAGTCGGTACACCTGTCCGCTGGCACTGCCTCGGGGATGGCTTGGCGTACCTCCAGATTTGGAAGGTGGCCCCAGGGTGACCCATCGGGGGGTACTGACCCATTGGGGGGTTTAAGTCTGTAGTTTGAACTGGTACTCACATAATCAAAGAGCATGCCAAAGTGCGCCTCCTCTAGGCACACCACGGTGACGTGGTCAATCCCACGGCAGACCATGCACTCCTGCAATCTTGCACAGGCCAGCTCAAATCCAGGTCCATGCTCACTGAGGATGGCAATGAGGTTTCAGTCAACAGGAATCGGGGTCGACATAGCGTGATGGAGGTTGAGTTGAGAGATGTCTGAGAGTGATGTCAAGGCCTTTGAGTGAATGCCCACCCTTAAGCCCCAATGAGAAACGCACCTGCCTGAGGCTGCCCGGGGATGCCCTGAGCTGCCCGGTGGGGCCGCTGTCAACGGGGCATATTAGGGCATCCTGGGGCATCCTGGGGCAGCAAAAGTGGACTTTAGGCATATTAGAAATGCCCGGAGCTGCCCCACAATGCCCAGCAACTTGCGGGCAGCTCTGGGCAGCTCGGTGGTTCGACCCTATGTGCTGCAATATTGCCGTAGCTGCCCCGGCCTGCCCACAATATCCCCGTAGCTGCCCACAATATTCCCGTAGCTGCCTGCAATATCGCCGTAGCTGCCTGCAATATTGCTGTAGCTGCCCACAATATCGCCATAGCTGCCCTCAATATTCCCGTAAAATGCTCGTAAAATTGCTACATCTGCCCTAATCTGCCCTCTATTGTACACGCCTATTTGCCAGTCTAACCCAAGTACTGTCCAAAACACTTACAAAAGTGCAGTAACCACTGATAGTTCTACTTCGCATTCCTCTTCGCCTTCGGTGGTTTCGCTGACTTCGCTGACTTCATAGGCTTTTCTGGCTTTGCAGCATCTATGATTCAAAGGCACCATCAGTTTTATGAGACGATTTGTGTGTCAAATCAATCTACATACTCATGATTGATTTGAAGTCGGGCACATCAAGTGATTTCTTCCCCGATGCGCGCTATTCGGTAGGTAATGAGATTGTGCGAGTTATCAAAAGACAGGTTCGTGGGCGTACCAGATTTTGAGCTTCCTGTTCATACGGCTGGGATGGTCACGGAGCATGATCTCAGCTCATGTTGCAATCAGACGGGATCAAGCAAACAATTCATACCTTCTTTGCTTCATTCAACAGGCTATCAAAATGCTTCTTGAAATCGTCAGTCATCTTGAAGAGGTTCGTGTTGCCTTCTGCGAGCTTCCATTGTGATCCGTATATATTCCTGCACCGTGACGAGAAGTGAGATCAGGACTGCAACAGGCACACAATTATGATGGAATGAGGTACTTCGCATTTACAGCCGTACCAGGCATATACACCCGTGATTTGCTGTGCAGTCCTGTGCTCTCTTCTGCAGTGCAGACGGCCTCGGCTTGCTCGCTATGAGCGGCCACATCGGCATGGTCGGTGTATGACGATTGATCTGGCCCAGATTGGATCACTGTTGCATCTGGGATTTCATAAGCAAAGTCGAGGGAGTATCACGAAGCGGTACACTTTGCGTACCATGAGCAGCTGTCCCGACGGAGTCTGCATCGGCGGACACGGTATTGGCCTGGCGCCCACTAGAGCCTGACTCGGGAATCTCCAAAGTTGTCGTGTCAGTGGGGTGGGCATCATCAGACGGTGGAATGATCTGTGGCACCACAGGCAAAGGGGCTGTGCATACTAGTACTTAGAAATGTCTGCAATAATGGGACTGATTAACACGTACAATGTGACGGCGCAGTAACATCAGGGCTAATCTGAGAAGTCCCTGCCTGAGAGGCAGTGTTCGATGGACCTACTGAGAGTAAGTGTCACAACTACAATATCAGCGAAAATACCATACCAGGAGTACAGTTTATTGTGACTGTCTTGAGAGGATTTGGTGAGGTGGCGTCGCCCGAATTGTCAAACACGTGCACTGCAGGTATTTTGTGCTCACTTCGAGGATGGAATACAGTACAAGATGATCACTCACAGGGCACTGGCAAATTTCTTTCGCGGCCACTGTTTCTTTTGCTGTGGTTGCTTCGGCAATGATTGCGGAGTAATGTGAGGAGAGGGAGCTGCACGGCGCTTTCCCAAGGTGGTGTCCACATCTGCATGGGGCGATACTGGACTTGCAGCCTGAGCTGACGTTGGGCGAGGACTCGGTGTCATACTTTGTGATGTAGAGGCTCCATCCACAACACGATTTGTTTGGCTCAGGCAGGAGACTTCGCTTCGTGTTTGGAGTATACCTGCACCCACTCCATGTCAGCAGTCTTTCTCGACACACTTAGAAGATCACACTAGATGCACGCTCGTGCTTCACCTGCGCCTGCTCTTCCTTCAGCTTGCGTTTCCTGAACCAAGACGGATACAACTTGATCGGGAAGTAGTCGCTCTTCCAATTTGCAGCACAGAGGCGAAGTTGCTCGAACTGCGCCTCTAGCTCATTGCGAAATGTGATACGAACATCATGATGAATACCCGGTCCCAGGTCGCAGGAGCAGTATCGGTTTGAAACATTGTCTCGAAAAAGCTGCACACAAAAGAGGTGATTTTCTTGATACGGTCGCGGCCAATGAAGGTCCCATCCTCGTCTTCAACGAAGAGCCAGTTCTTCAAGTTGTCGTCTTCGTCTTTATCAATTGCACGGCCTGATGGCCTCGTAGAGATTTGCTTCTGCGCTCGCTGTGAGTCCCAATCCGCTCGATGCCAGTACTTGATGCTAGGATATTCTTCCCGTCTGAGTGGCACACGTGTTTGCATGTTGAGGCGAAGCGGGATGATCACTGATGCAGATGCATGACTTGATGTCCGACAAGAGACACTGCAGGTGTGCTTGCAACTGCAGACCTATATGGGATCACAGATTGATCAGATATGCCGTGTGATTGTAAACTGGGGAATCAAACTCGTGTTACCGAATCCATCTTCTGGAGCATGTTGTGGTAGAAATGGCTGGGCATAGTGGTTTCGATTTAATACAGGGGATTAAATCGTAGAATCATTACTCACGAGAACTCTGCAATCTGGCTCTGGAGTCGCTGGTTGTCTTTCTCAAGCTGCTGGTTCAAGGTCGACAGCTCAACATATGCATGATTTCCCGCGCATGTCAATTCACTGTGGGTAGCATTTGCGAGCATCCGAAGAAGATCTGGACGCTGTCAGTATGATGGGTGAGCGTATATGCATGTGTCCGGCTGAACAGGATCTTGCGCTGGAGGTATTCAGTGTATCTTCATAAAGCGTGGCATCAGCTGCATTACTGAGCTGTTCAAACGGTGTCAGAGTGCTGCTCCTCGAGGTCTTAGGTGTAATTCTCATGTGAGAGTGTGTTGTGCGGGGCTGAAACGGTGGACCAAGCGAGTGACCGCACATGTCGGGTGTCTGCGCATACTGCGAAGACGAAGCTCGGTGTTGGTGGGGGAAGGTAAAATTTGGGAATCCTTGTGAGTTTTCGTCCATGCTAGTGATTCTACAAAAGCGGCGACAGAGTGGTTCGCGGTCAAGATGCTCCTGGCGGATGAGAGTGACGCCGCGCACGAGCAGATTTGGTAATGTCATGTGATGCGTCAAGACGATCGTCCTCAAATTACTTGCAGCTCCGAGTCTGCAAGCATCTCTGTGCTCTTGAACCTATTGGGCAATGTCATTCGGCTTTGGAAGACCTCTGGAACTGAAAAAATTCGATGATACTACCACGGGAATCCAAGAGGAGCTCGCGGCTTTAGCGCAAAATATGAAGTCTCTGCGAAATGACCTATGGGATCTTCCTGGACCAGACAGCGACTCTACCGACCCGGACACAATCTCACCTGGACGCGGTCTCGCGTTGCTCACTCTTCGTGACCTAGTCCAAATCTTGTACTATTCTTGCGACCTCGCTGGCAAGCTCTTGAGAACACTAGATGCTGATGACCCGACACAATTCTTGAAGCCGATCTACGAGAATACTGCAGGCACCCTTGCCTCAACGCTTGGTCAGCTCAATGATTACGAGCGCAGAATGCATTACCTGGAGCGGACTGGGGTCGTGGACATCCCTAGAGCCTTCTCCGTTGGGTGAGGCCTGCATATATCCTACAAAAGTAATAGAAAACTCAATATCGAGTCTGCAGTGCTTACCGCCAGCATCCTGGAGTCTCCTCGAAGGATGGAGTGGTGCAAGACCGCGAGGTATGTGCCACATATTCTCCAATTGATGTATATGATGACATCACTATTCTAGCCTTTCCCCATGTATACGGAACTGTCTGCGACTCAGATAACGCAAATTCGCAAGATGGACTCAGCAAGTCAAGTCAAACGCGCAACAGAGATACACACAGAGCATGTACTCTCTTCACCATCCTACTGCCCGCATGGCATGATGGTGTGCCCCAACTCGAAAGGCGCATGTCTCCTCCGAAACAGAGGCACTCTTACTTGCACGGCCGACCGTACGAAGGAGAGCCAGCCGTCGCAAAAGCTTGGACCGAATCAAAGGAGAACACGGACACACTTCGCCGCAGATTGGGACTCCCTGTAGAGATGCAATGAAAGAACTCGCCTTCCTTTATTTCGGTATCATGAATGGATTGTCTGTAGAAGTGTAATCGCTGCAGATGGCATGTGCAATTGTATTAAGGTACTATTTGAGCACAAACAGAAGCCCTGCGGGCCCTTGTTACCCGTGCGCACACTCGCCTAGAGGTACGTGAGGAAGTCGGGCACGAGGATGTCCCGGGCCCAAACAAGAGTGCCGCGGTGAGCACGAAGCAGTCCCGCGGCGTGAAGCGGTTGTACGCGAGCATGCGCACACCCCAAACCACGACGGACGCGAACTGGAGTGTCGTCACGCCGCCGAGGACAGGGTTTGGGACTGCATACGCGTGGCGGTCAGTGGGATGTGTGGGTGGAGTGGTGAGGGGACGTACTTGTGAGGAAGACGCCGGAGATCTTGCCGAGGACGCAGAGGATGAGGAAAAAGCAGGACCACCACCCTGTGTTCCTGTTTGCGCAGCGTGTGACGGCGATGACGCTGTACCCGGATCCTGAACGTCTTCACCCACAAGAACGTGATGCCGGGCACGGACACGATTGAGGAGCCGTCAATGCAGCCCGTGGCGCCGGCGACGATGCAGCCGACGGAGAGGCCAACGATGATGGAGATGTTCTTGAGAAAGGGCAAGCCGAAGAGCTCATCGAGACGAACGAGGGATGCATAGGTGGTCGCCTGGGCGGATCACGTGGGTGAGTCGGTGGCCAGCTGGCCGAGTATATGAGCACGTACAAGACGGTGCATGCGAGAGGTGTGGGTGGTTTTTGCTTAGGCTCGCGACCTTCTTTGCTTTTGCGTGCTTCCGGTGGTACGCAGAGGATGCAGCGTCGATGGCAGAGATTAAGAGTGAGATGGCGAGCCAGCGAGATGGCTGGCGAGGAGGACAGCGAGATGGCGGGGAGCGCACGCGTGCGCGAGAAGTCGGGTGTGTGAGCACGAAAGGGCAGGTACAAGATAGCGGTAATGTGAGGGCGCGAGAAGGCGGGAAAGTGGTGGGCCAGAGGGGCAAGCAGAGTGCGCGGACGAACACACAGGCATTTGCGGCATGCAGGCATATGGGTGGGGTGTGCAGACTGGTGGGCAAGGCGCCGTACTCGACCGCGGTGACTAGCATGGGGCCTGCGCGAGGTGCCACCATCAACCACATTACTGAGTGGAACTTGACCGTTTCGAACGGTCCACCCGGAGTGCATTTGGCCCGTTTCTAACGGTGTACCCGGGCTCGGCCGGAGCACTCCAGGTCTACCGTTTGGAGCGGCCGCCGCCAGCAACGAACCGGCCGGAGGAAGGGTGGTGGTTTGGAATGGTCCGGCCGGAGTGTTGGGTAACGTTCCGGCCGGAGCTCTGGTGAACGTACCGGCCGGAGGCCTTGAGAAATATGGGTTTCCTACGGTCCGGCCGGACTGTTATCCAACGTCCCGGCCGGAGCTCTGGTCAACGGTCCGGCCGGAGGCCTCGAAAGATTTAGGCTTCCTACGGTCTGGCTGGACACATACCCAACGTTTCGGCCGGACCTTTGATCAGTGTTCCAGCCGGAGGCCTCGAAAATTTGGGCTCTCAACGGTCCAGCCGGAGCACTCAGCAATGGTCTGGCCGGAGCACTCAGCAATGGTCCGGCCGGCGCACTCAGCAATGATCCGGCTGGAGGCCTCCAAAGATTTGGATTCTCAATGTTCCGGCCGGGACCGGGGTTGGTTTCTAACCTTCCGGCCAGACCCCAGATGAAACAGTCCGGCCAGGCAAAATTCCACCTTCCAAACATCCGGCTGGAAGCCTTGCGGAATCTGGGCTGTAAACAATCCGGCCGGGCTAGTTTGTAATCATCCAGCCAGCCGGACCCCAGATGAACAGACCGGCCGGGCTTCTCCAAAACCAGCCAGACCCCTCAGAATTGATCTGCCGGTGATATAACAACAAGAATTGTTAACCCCCAAGCTCAGCTGGAAAATGACCAAGGTTGTATCAACCAAGCTCAATATTTAACCACCCACCGAGCTCAGAGTTGAACCACCGAGCCCAGAGATGAGCCACCAAGCTCGGTATCAAACCACCGAGCTCAATAGTGAGCCACTGAGCACAGTATTGAACCACCGAGGTTAATCAGCTAGGCTCGGTGGCCGAGAAAAATTGGCCGGGCTCGGCGCAAATGGCCGAGGCTCGGGCCGAGGTTTCGAGCGCCGAGCTCGGTGAAAACCGCCGAGGTCAGTATCAAAGCATTGAGCTCAGTGTTAAGGGGCCCAGTTAAAGGGCCGAGCTGAGTGTTCAATGACCGAGTTTGTTGTTGAAGCACTGAGCTCGGAAATGGCCGAGGTTAAACCACCGAGCTCGGTGAAAAACAGCCGGGCCGTCAGATTGCCATATAAGGAAATTTGGTATCATCTGGTAGCCCTTCATTCACAGAGTACAGTATATGTTCCCTAGTGTACAGAAATGCCTAGTTAGGTCAGAGAATACAAAATAAAAAATGCTCACAGGCTTCTCTGAGAACATACTATTCAACTCCTGAGGCCAGTTTTCTTTTCCCACAATGTTTGACTATCTAGAATGTGCTATTTCAATGCACAGACTACATCCCCAACAGGAATAGTCTTATTCTTTGAAGCTGAATGCAGGACAGGAGATAAGGGGTATACATGTTGGATAATGATGTTCACTCCCTGCAGCCAATATTCTTTCCAAATAGTGTTTGACTATCTAGAATGATTCATTTCCTCCCAATGAGTGAGTCCTCCAAAGGAATAGTCTTATTCACACAAGCTGAATGCAGTACAGAGTTAAGGGAATCTGGTCTCATATGAGTATCACTCAATTTGAACAATGCTGATCATCACTTCTGTATCCATGCATGATATAGCTGAAGAGTCTATACATTGGACAGATGTGTTGCATTTTGCTCTTGCTGGCCTAGGACAGTGCACCGGCCGGACCGTTTGCTACGAGCAATGGCCGGCCGGACCATTGGCAATGAGCATTGTCCGGCCGGACCATTACCAATGGAGAGATGTTTCTGTGGCCAGTGCGCATCACAGTTTGATACAGACAATCATTCAAAGCAGGCCCCATCATGACACAATAATGCATGTTCCCCTTAGCTCCATGCTCAGTTCAGCTAGGAAGAATAAGACTATTCCTCTTGAGGACTTTGCTGTTCATGTTGGATTAAGCCATTCTGGTTTGTCAAACATTGTGGGCAAAGCATATTGGCTTTACAAAGTAAACATAGTTCACATGTATCCCACTCCACCCTTGACACCTTAACTCTGTACTGCATTCAGCTTGTGTGAATAAGACTGTTCCTTTGGAGCACTTACTCCATGTGAGTAAATGAACCACTCTAGATGGTGAAACCCTATTTGGAAAGAATATTGACTGCAGGAACCAACATTCAAGTCAGACATGCATATCCCATACCTATATGCCCCTTATCTCTTGTCCTGCATTCAGCTTCAAAGAATAAGACTATTCCTGTTGGGGATGTAGTCTGTGCATTGAAATAGCACATTCTAGATAGTCAAACATTGTGGGAAAAGAAAACTGGCCTCAGGAGTTGAATAGTATGTTCTCAGAGAAGCCTGTGAGCATTTTTTATTTTGTATTCTCTGACCTAACTAGGCATTTCTGTACACTAGGGAACATATACTGTACTCTGTGAATGAAGGGCTACCAGATGATACCAAATTTCCTTATATGGCAATCTGACGGCCCGGCTGTTTTTCACCGAGCTCGGTGGTTTAACCTCGGCCATTTCCGAGCTCAGTGCTTCAACAACAAACTCGGTCATTGAACACTCAGCTCGGCCCTTTAACTGGGCCCCTTAACACTGAGCTCAATGCTTTGATACTGACCTCGGCGGTTTTCACCGAGCTCGGCGCTCGAAACCTCGGCCCGAGCCTCGGCCATTTGCGCCGAGCCCGGCCAATTTTTCTCGGCCACCGAGCCTAGCTGATTAACCTCGGTGGTTCAATACTGTGCTCAGTGGCTCACTATTGAGCTCGGTGGTTTGATACCGAGCTTGGTGGCTCATCTCTGGGCTCGGTGGTTCAACTCTGAGCTCGGTGGGTGGTTAAATATTGAGCTTGGTTGATACAACCTTGGTCATTTTCCAGCTGAGCTTGGGGGTTAACAATTCTTGTTGTTATATCACCGGCAGATCAATTCTGAGGGGTCTGGCTGGTTTTGGAGAAGCCCGGCCGGTCTGTTCATCTGGGGTCCGGCTGGCTGGATGATTACAAACTAGCCCGGCCGGATTGTTTACAGCCCAGATTCCGCAAGGCTTCCAGCCGGATGTTTGGAAGGTGGAATTTTGCCTGGCCGGACTGTTTCATCTGGGGTCTGGCCGGAAGGTTAGAAACCAACCCCGGTCCCGGCCGGAACATTGAGAATCCAAATCTTTGGAGGCCTCCAGCCGGATCATTGCTGAGTGCGCCGGCCGGACCATTGCTGAGTGCTCCGGCCAGACCATTGCTGAGTGCTCCGGCTGGACCGTTGAGAGCCCAAATTTTCGAGGCCTCCGGCTGGAACACTGATCAAAGGTCCGGCCGAAACGTTGGGTATGTGTCCAGCCAGACCGTAGGAAGCCTAAATCTTTCGAGGCCTCCGGCCGGACCGTTGACCAGAGCTCCGGCCGGGACGTTGGATAACAGTCCGGCCGGACCGTAGGAAACCCATATTTCTCAAGGCCTCCGGCCGGTACGTTCACCAGAGCTCCGGCCGGAACGTTACCCAACACTCCGGCCGGACCATTCCAAACCACCACCCTTCCTCCGGCCGGTTCGTTGCTGGCGGCGGCCGCTCCAAACGGTAGACCCGGAGTGCTCCGGCCGAGCCCGGGTCCACCGTTCGAAACGGGCCAAATGCACTCCGGGTGGACCGTTCGAAATGTGATTTCCCACTCATTAGGCTCCATCAACGGAGACAGATCTTTGTCATCAAGATGGGCACGGGCTGAAACACCATGCACCATTGGTTGGCTTTGCGGGCTTGGTGACGGACGTGGTGACGGACGTGTGCGAGCCCGTTTGGGCATCGCTAACGGTGCGAGTGTGCACGAGTGAGGGTTTTGCGCGGGGGCTGGCACCAGAGCACGTCCAGCACGCGCGGGAATACCATCCCTGGCTGCAAGATCAATTGTGCCGGCTGCATGAATGCACAACTCACACGTGCGCGTTGAATTGGCGTGCTTCGCCGCGGAAGAGCGGGACGGGGAGAGTTTCGGAAGTGATGGTGCGCGCCGAAACGCAGCTGCTCGCCACAACAACTGGTGGGGGCCTCGGTATATGCAGCAACTGGCCAGTGGTGGCAAGGGCACTGGGCGCGGTAAACCCTGCACGAGTTGTGGTGCAGGTAAATGCAGAGTAGGCAGTGCTCGAGAGTGGTCGTTTGCGCAATGTGAATGCTCGAGGGTGGTCGTTTGCGCGATGCAAAAGCCAACAGCGGGAGCGCTCGCCGGCTTAGCCAGGCGAGTATCCTCAGCTGCGGCGCTGCGTGGCAACAGATCCACCACAGGAAGAAGGCAACAGCGATGAGGAGGATTAGAGGCGGTGTTGCGCAGGTCGCTGGCGAGCGAGGTGAATGATGATGATCACGGCAGTGGTCTGGCTAACTCCCAAGAGGGAGGTCAGCATTCATCCCCGAAGGGTCAGAATGAAGCCCCGCGCTGCTTGTCTACAAGCCAGCCTGAACGCAGCGCAGTGACCTAGCAACCTGCATGACCGATGATCCAAACCCAGCGTGTTGCGGTTCAAACCGGCTAAGCTCATGCATGCCTGGATGCACCACAATCAGGATTAATAGACATCAGAAGGCCAACTTTGACTTACCTGTGCAACATATATCGCCGCTCAATGGAGGAGGACCCAAGGCGCCGCGGCATCGCTGGTGCTGCAAACTCGCAAGGATACAACCACGTGATTGAGATTCACACGACTGCTCGCACCCAAACCGCGTCCGAAAGCGAGCAGGTCAAAAATACTATCTGTACATGATATGTAGCTCATTGGCCTAATACTAGTTTTAACTACTCTCCGTCCTCATCTTCATCGTCTGGCATATTCACAAGTGGATTGTGGTACCTCTCAAGACCCAGCTTCTCCACGAGGAAATACCGACCCTCCAAGTCCTTGCTGTATGGTCCAATGCGCTGCGGTGCGGGATCATCGCCACCACGGAGGTGATATGTTTGGCCTCTACGACGCGGATAGGGCATGTGTCATCGTGGACACATGAGTACAGAGTTCCATGTGACTGTCGTAGCAAGTCAGCATCAGGATCTGAGTACAAGTGTACGACTGCAAGGGCGATGCTCGTCTCTTCAGTTTGAGAAGAAAGAAGTAGCAAGCTTCCCCAATACTGATCTGCCCATTCTCGGTTATCTAAAACAGTCTATGAGCCCTTGTACTGGATATCCCATCCACGTTGTGAATTGATGTCTCGAATACACACCTTGACGTTACGAGCAATGCGCAGGCGGTCCAGAGGTCACTTGTGCTCCTTCCACAGAGAACGAGCAACCTGCCCATTTGGGAGACCAGTCGAGCCCATTGAACTATGGATGGACCCTCTTCCCAATTGTCCATGGGGATATTGTGCTCATCCAGAAATGCGATGATCGCGACTGCCTCTTCCTCCGTGACGCTGTTGTCAGTCTTGTCCTTCGCACGACGCAGCGAGTAGCCGTCACCTAGATCAATTGCACGTTTTGGTATTGACTCCACCTCCCAAATTCAGGATACATTGCTCGCAATGCATTGACTCGGCATCGGCGTAGCCCTGCTCAGCGAGATTCGCAAAGGGGTTTGAGTGCTGCCGCACCTCTCCGCCAAGATTGCCGATCGTCCGCTCCAAGGTCCACTGAGAGAAGTTCGCATATGGTCCGCAGCGCTCTGTCTCGGAGGGATAGTGGGTGAAGCCATGGACACTCTGACGGACAAAGTGCAAGCGCTCCGGCTTTCGTTGATAGTACTTCTTCTCAAACTCCTCTGCCCGTGTCACGAGCTGCCCGTGTGCCAAGACCAAGTTTTCCGAAGCTATCTCATGACCAGCAATCATCCGGTAGCCAGAGACCATCTTCGTGAAGTGTGCCAGTAGTCCAGAGGTACTGTCTGATAGAACAAAGCTGGGCACATCCCGTACAGATGAAGCTGATGTTCACAGGCCTTGTAACCACTTGAGATCTTCTCTGCTGGATTGTGTGGTGCTTGGCCAAAGGAGCCAGGGAGGTATGGGGTCATCACCGCAACAGCTGTGCCATGCTTCTTCCACGTGATCAAAGTTGCCCAGTCCCAAGAAGCCTTGTTGTTGTTCTTGTCGCACTGGATTGTCCTGCGGAACAGACTCAGCTGGAGATCAGGTATGTTCAAGCTCCCGTGGTGCATGATATCGGCAGGGAACATGTTTGGGATCCCTAGTGTTTGTCGAGCTGGAAGACCCATAAGAATACTTGGCTTCGCAATTCCAGTCTCCAGGCGGAGCTTGGCGTACTCGCGTTGGGTTTTCGCGCCCATTAGGCGTGTTAGGTTCGCTGCATAGTGGTGCGATGCCTCCACCATATTGAGAGGTGCACGAAGGCTGATGTCTGCGTGGTTGGAGCCATCAACATCGTATCCATGTGGCTTCAGAGTCGCGGATAATAATGTCCGACACCAGGCTTGTGCCACCTCGTGTTGCGCAGTACAGTCGGCAACCCAGACCGCCCGAGTGTCCCACTAAGCCACTGAGGTAGGCCATTCCAGGTATATCAGCCATGGCGAACAAGAGGAAAAGGTCGGACAGGAATTGTGCGGCTCGCTCAGCATCCCAGAGCCGGAGCCCTTTGCGCATGAGTGCAGCCACATGGCGAATTCCAGGGAACACGAACGAGTCTATGTTTTGAGGTTTCTTCGGGATGAAGCCTCCTGGGAGTACATGTGTCTTGCGATACCTGACGTCGGGGTGTAGTCACAGATCACCCAGATGTATATACATCCAGAAATCCATGACCTTGTTGGCATAGAGCTGTGCACCATCGAGCGAGAGGATCAAGACAGTATCGTTGTCTTTGATATCACCAGCATCGACACGCGCAAGATAGTCAAAGCCATGAACCAAGTCAGATAGAAGAGGTAGCCTATCACCATGCATGTCCAACATCCGCAGAGCATCCCGAGTCGCTTCTGCACGATACTTGGCTGCCTGAGCACCCTCCGGAGAACGGCGCATGGCTTGAATCATTGGGCCAATCGGTATAGTGGTAAACTGCTCTGTGCGACCCGCTTGCCCTTCAGTAGCTCATCGCGGTAGTGGGATCATTGCACATCACACATTTATCGAGGTGGGCAAAGGGGCCAGTGTAAGTGAGACACCCATTTGGGCACATATCGTGTTTGATGGCGTGAATCCCAGTGAGATTGGTGGCAACCTGTCGAATGCGGTGGAACAAGTACATCTGATGTTGGGGGGACAGTGTGCCAAAGTGTTCCAACACTGTCATAGATGACTTGCGCGCAGTTATCCAGAGCCAGGTATACCTCGAGCGAGAGCACAAGCACCGGGTCATCCAGATCAGGACAGTCGTGAGGGGGTTTCTCAGGGTATCCAAGAGAGCGGGATCGTCTATGTCGTCTCAAGAGTCGCCTGTCGTAGAAGATCAATCATCTCTTTTGTGCGGCGGAGATCCTCTAGGTGGATGGTACTAGGCAGTGTCAAGTCCTCCATGTCCGAGTCACTAGCAGTAGAATCTGGGTGTGAACCGCCCGAGGTGGCATTCGTGGGAGGCTGTGCATGTTCTTGTTCTGCAACCTCGGCTTCTTGTGCTGAGATCTCGGCCAGACTTCCTGGATCGGCTCTCAGGAGCGATACTGATGAACCGGCGCTGAGAGGGCCGCGCAAGGGTATGCCTTCACTGCCTTCAGTGCTGCGGTCCAAGTTCACCTCCTCTCCCGCTTTGCACGAACATCAACTGTCAGTATCTGGGCTGCTAACAACACATGAAAGTAAATGCTCACCTTCTATCTGCTCCGCAGACTCCGAGTCGGGTGCCACGTCTGCCGCAGCGTCACATTTGTGGATGAATCAATGAGCTACTAGCAGAACAGTCATTGACCTGCTCGCCTAAAGCTTCATGTGAGACTCAGCTTGTCACCACATCTATCAAGAGAGTGATCTCACTGATTGTCTGTCACATGCAGCCTGGGAGGCTTCGGCGACACCGAGTTGGCCTAGACGGTGTCTATGAGCATTACAGATCAAGATATTTGTCGTCAATTATACCTTGTGATGAGATCTCAGGCTCCTTGGAGTCATCGATCCATGAGCTGCAGGAGCTATCCGCCAGAGATCTGTTATACAATGTTACAAAATGATGCTCAGGTACTAAGGTAAAGTGGAGGCGACACACCTCGTCTCTGTGCGCGTATATTAGCTCGTTTCCCTAGATGGCTATCCTGGATGTCGGGCTGTAGTCGTTCCACTTCACCGAATTTGCACTTCGTCCCATTGACCCTGTAGGGTGATTGCCTGAACCGTGTTCTCGTGAAGGACCAGCCACTGGAGCACTGTGCGAGGAGCATTTGCCTGGGAGAGAAGTAGTGTGAATCCAGTGGTTGCAGGGCCAGAGGTGGTTGTATGCGAGAGACTCGAAAGTCCTTGTGTGCATGATATGTAGATTTACTGACCGGAGTTGGCGTTGATCCACAACGCTGAGCGCAGTCACATGTGTAGGCTTTCTCTGGTTCATCTGGACCCAGCTGAGTCGCCTTCTGCTTCCCCTTAGATGATCCCGAGCCGCGATGGAAGAGACGGCAGAGGGCATGATGCTTAGATGACAGCGACACTGGGATGAACAAGAAATGCACACCGTTACCTGAGTGGAGCACACAGCAAAATCACTTAGTGCGCACAGCGAGCTTATGGATTGCGATGTGCGGCAGCTTGGGGCCGCATGCCAATGTGTTACACAGAGAGCAGGTGCTAAGAACAACAGCCTAGCATAAATGGCTGTTATCCACGACACCGATTGATGTCATTGGCAGGTCGGGGCACATTCGGGCACATCGGCCCATTATGGGCAGGTTGGGCAGCCCAGGGCAGCCCCGGGCAGGTGCGTTTTTCATTGGGCTTAAGCGCCAATATCGCTGGCCACTCATAGGAGATTGTTCAGCTCATGAGTCCTCAGAAATTGTAGAATATGAGAAGCCTGGCATCAATAGCAAGTAATACACCGTAATACACAATCAGAACTGTCCCCTACTTCCAGTAGTCATTGCAGAAATCTATGCTCTGTCTACGCTGAAGCGGCCCTCCCTCCCTTCCGCTGCAGTCCTCACAACACAGCCCACTTCCCCCACTTGTGCCCGCTCTGCCCCTATGCCCATCGGAGCCTCTCTCGTCACCACGGCCCATTTAGCCTCCATGATCTCGCGACACTTCCCCAGGCCTACAGGCCAGATCCAATTCAGCTCGATGAAGTTATACTTCATCGAGCACATCGGATGAACGGGCTGTTCCCCCGTGGCGTAGTTCTGGGAATACAGCGTAAGCTGCACCGTCAAATCTTTGAGGACGAGGATGTTGTCCAGGGGGAGGGGGAGGCAGATTGGAAACATCTGGTGCAGACACAACAGCTCAAATGTCTGCGTCAACACGTTGTAATGGTTGAAGGTCATTACTCGCGGCTCGAGCATCTCAGTGTATGTTGGGAACTCCCGTGGCTTGAATTCATTCAGCTTTGGGAACATTTGAGCGAGCATCGGTTGCTCAGACAGTCCCGGTATCACAATCTCCGAGCCCGTCGCGTTGACTTTGCCGATGAGCAGAACAGATACAGGTGTATAGCCGTTCTGTACACGGTGTTCAGTGAGCGCGCCAACATCAGTGAGGGTTACCACATACCTGAACGTAAACCATTGCCTCAACCAGCACTGACGACACTTTCCATCACATTATTCAGTGGTACCTACTCGATACTAACGGTACAGCCGGAGTGCATTTCAACTGTTGCAAACGGTAAAGCCGCCTCCGTCCGGAGCTGTCATTTCCTCGTTGCAAACAGGCCGGCCGGACTGGTTTCAAACAAGCTGGCCGAGTGTATCTCAAACCAGTTCAAACGGTCTGGCCGGTGTATCCCTAGGGCACCTATTTTCTGTCTGAACAGGGGGGCCATTTAGTGTCTTGCTGGCAACGGACCGGCCGGGAAATGAGGGGTTTTAATTGTAACAGATCAACCGGGATACTCTTTCTCCTATGGTAACGAACCAGCCAGGAAATGGGATCCTTCATTTGTAATGGGCCGGCTGGAGTGCATAGTTCACCAGTTGCAATGGGCCGGCCGGAGCACATGCTCCCTGGCTAATAACAGACCGGCCGGCATCAGGAAACCTACCCCACACGAATTTGTGGAAATCTGCACAAATTTGCACAAATTTCCTGGAGACCCCATTTACTTGACCCCCCCAATTCCCTCGCTCGAATTTGCGTGAATTCACATCCAATGGCTGTGAATTGCAAGGAAATACTAGCTCGGCCATACAATTTGGGTACTTCAATTCACATTGTATTGCACGTATTTACACGCTTAGCTACTACGTCCACCCTACTCCCATCAGTCTCCCACTGGCATCCTTTATTCATGCGCGCATGGTCCGTTCGTCGGCCGTGTGCTCCCGTGCTGGGCATTCACCTAGTGCGCTCGCGGTTGGCGTGTGTACCGTCGCCTGCTCGCCCGCCGGCCCGTTCATCGGTCGGCCATGTCTGCGTGCTGGGCATTTGCCCAGCGCGCTTGCTGTCACCGTGCGCGTGGTGGTCATCCGCGCCCTATGTCCGTGTGCTTGCCCTCTCGCCCTCTCGCCCTCTCGCCCTCTTGCCCTCTTGCCGGCTCGCGCACCCACCCGTCTTCCTGCTCACCTACTCATCCGCTCACACCCTATCGCCCGCCGGTCTGCCCGTCTTCCTGCCCGCTTGTCTGCTTGCCCGGTACCCGTTTGTTGGCTCGTCCATCCACGTGCGCGTGCATTCGCCGGCCGTGCGTGCGTGCTGGGCAATCGCCCAGCACGGTCGCGGGTGGCGTATGCTGTCGTCTGCCATTTGTCCACCCACCTGCGCACTCGTCCACCTAGCGACACACCCGCGAGTACACTCGTCAACCCATTAACCCGCTCACCCACTCACCCGTTTGACTTCCCGCCCGCCCGCTCACTCTCCCGCCCCTCGTCCACTCGTCCGCCCGCCATCTGTCCGTCGCCCGTGCCTGCACGCGATGCATTGACCCTGAGTGCTCGCGGTCGTCGCGCCGCACCATGCCGTGTTCTGTGTCTACGTTAGTGGGCTCGTTCGCATGCATCTGCACTCACCAGGGGACTCTCGCCCTCGCCCGCCCTCGCCAGCCACAACCTTCCCTGTCGTCCGTTCGTCATCCGCTTGTCATCCCCGCTCGTCTTCGGCGCCCGACGTCTGCTCGTTGTCCACGCCCGCCGTCGCGACACTGCAAGCAGATGGGCGAGAAGAAGTGGACGGAAATTTTCAGTAGGTATGCTACTCAACGCTTTTTTTTTTCGTGGCTGTGTTTTCCTTTCGTTCAATGCTCCTGCCCCTCATTCCCACTCATTCTCGCATACGCCTCTCTTCTATCTCTGCGCTTGTTGCACTCGGGCTTGCACTTGCGCGCTCGGACTCGTGTTCGGGCTGTGGGGCGGCCCGAGTGGCATTGATGCGTGGTCGTGGTTATCTGCATCGGTGGACGAGCAGATAGGCAGACGGCCAGTCGGATGCGAGAGCAAGCGGGTAGTCGGGCGGACAGACGAGAAGGCAGATGAGCACACAGACGGCCGTATGCGAAGGGGCAGCCTGGCGTGAGAGAGCGAGCGAGGGAGCGTGCCATAGAGTGGGTGCCAGAGGCAGCAGACCGCTGGGCAGGCGCACGGGCGGGAGAAAATGCTGGCATGTAAAAGGGTAGTCAGGTAGGCAAGGACAACGATCTCACCTCTGAACGTTGAACCTTTCTGCTCTTCGAATTTCCTTGCTCCTTCGTCGTCTTGTCTTCTCGTCGAGTTCCTGCGGCACCCCAACACGATCGCTTTGGACAGATAAATTTGCTCGACGACTGGATGTGCGACGTGGCCAGGTGAGTCATGTGACCGATTTCACTCAGGGCAGGCATATTGCGACTTGTCTGACTTCGTTTCACGCTGCTCCCTTGCTCAGGCTAATCCCTTGCTCAGGCTGCTCACCGTTCTATGCTGCCACAACACTGGTACGCTCACGACCAATAAGCTAAGTCTACTCGCTGAATTTGCGCTGATCGTCTTCGAGGCTCGCCCAACTCGATTCCCGCCCTCTCCCTGTCGAGCTCCTTTACGACGAGCAGCTCCGATAGAGCTCTGGACGACCCCTGGCACCAACTTCGACGATGCATTGCCACACCTGCCGCCACGCAACACACCCATGAGCAAATAGGTCTTCAGTCACCGACGGTGCACTCCGAGTTCGGCCACTGTGCGAACGAGCTGCGCGTGCTCTAGTGAGTCCTGAAGTAGGCTGGGGATCGGATGGTAGTGAGGTGTGGTCAATGGACAGGTGAGGCATGACGGATGCAACACGGCCCGTCTTGCACGAGCTACTGACTGCTCTATCAGGCGACGGGACGCACGTACAAGCCCATGGCTTCGAGCTCAGTGAACGTGCGACGCGTACCATCGAGCGCGCTACACCCACCCACCCGCATCGCCTGAACGGGCATGATGCAAGCGTGGAAGTTACGTAGTCAGCACATGCACTCAGGAAGTCGCAGGACACGACGTACCGTCAGTTACCTGCTTGCCCATTGGCCACCCACTCGCCCACCTACTCGCCCACTAACTTGCCTGTCAGTTTCCCTGCTGTCTCGCTCGGCCATTGTTCTGGCCCGCCATCTCGCTTGCCCGCCATCACCCTATCCCCGTCGCACGCCCCCGCCGTCTCACCAGCCCGCCGCCACATAGGCCTGCCATCTCGCTTCCCCGCCTGCTGTCCGTCTCGCCCACCGGCTCGCTCGCTCTTCTTCTCGGTCTCCTACTGTCTAGCCGCTGTCTTGCTTGCCCAACGCCTCGTCTGTCCATCGTCTTGCTCACCCGTCGCCTCGTCCACGCGCTGTCAGGCTTGTCTGCTGCCTCGCCCGCGTGTCGTCTTGCCCGCGCCCTGTTGCTCGTGCGCTCTCGCCCACGCGCGTCGCGCTCTTGCATGCAGCGTCGCATGCACCCCCTCGCTCGCGCTCTCCTCTGCTCGGTCGGCTGACCACTCACTCGTCCACACAATTGCCCACGTGATCGCTCGCTCGTCCGTGCGCCCACTTGCCAACAGACCTGCTTCCTGCCCGTGGACCCGCGGACCCTTGGCCTAACCGCGAACAATTCACCCGTCGCGCAACAAGTAGTCGGGATACGCATACCATTCAACACGTGGTACGTACCACACCCGCGATAGCCGCACCTCGCGACTGTGTCGACCAGATGCACGACGGTCTCCGAGTTGACAGGCACGCAGTGCACCCACGGTGGTGGAGAGATTTTGACAAGGGTCTTCGCACGACGCGACCACTGGCTCCTTCGTCCGAGCGAATTCAGTATACAACAATCACGACAGGGGCAGGAGGAGAGACAATGGAGCGAAGCTGGACGAGATGAGCTGTGTGTACATTTACTGTTGTGTATTGTAGTCACAGCCAATCGAGGCATCTGATGTACATCAATTTTTGACGTGTGTGTATATGAAAATATATTTCTGCCTGTTCGGGAGGCATTTGCACTGATTTACAAGCCATTCGGAGTGACAGGCGCGGCTGCGGCGATTTGACGCTGATTTGCGCCACATTCGCGCAGGGGGGTTTCCTGATGGGGTTGCATCATCTCTTGCTGGCAACGGAGCGGCCGGACCATTTTTCCACATTGATAGCAGGCTAGCCAGGCCATATAATCTAGCACTCCACACTGGTAATGGTCCGGTCGGGCAGTGGCACCATCCATTGGTAATGGTCCGGCCGGGCAGTGGCACCATCCATTGGTAATGGTCCGGCCGGGCAACAGTATTGTGACCCAGTATTGGCTGGGCCAGTCAACAATAGACCATACTCCCTTAGAACAGCCTACTAGTAGCATGTATTATATGTCCACAGTGCATGCCCTATCACATTGCCTGAGCTGTTAGCTCACTGGCCAGCCATGAAAACACTGGCCGAGGGCATTCAAAAACCTTCGGCCTATTGTATTATGATACAGAGTGTGATTTGAATGATTGTATATGTAAGACCATCACTAATGGAGCCCAACATAGTGTTCCCACATTTTAAAGGGGCTTAGTGAAGCTGCCACCAGCCAAATTAAATGGCCGGACATCTCAAAACATCGGCCGGGCATTTTAGTTCATTGGCCGAAGCTTTTAATTCATTGGCCGAAGCTTTTTAGGTGCTCGGCAAAAATGGCCGGCCGGTGGGCAAAACCGGCCGGGCTGTTGAATTACTATATGTGGAAATGTGGTATTGTCTGGGAGCCCTTCATTCGCAGAGTCTAGTATCAATTTCCTAGTTTCCAAGAACACATAGTTAGGCCAGGATATGCAAGACAAGATTTACTACTCACAGGCTTCTTTGCAAAACATGTTATTCAATTCCTGAAGCCAATATTCTTTGCCCACACTGTTTGACAATCTAGAATGTGTTATCACAATGCATAGAGTAGATCCCCAAAAGGAATAGTCTTATTCTTTGAAGCTGAATGCAGGACAACAAATAAGGGGTATACAGGTATGGTCTACATGTTGACTTCCTGCAGCTAATGTTCTTTCCAAACAGTGTTTTACCATCTAGAATAGTTCATTGATCCACAAGGAATCAGTCCTCCAAAGGAATAGTCTTATTCACACAAGCTGAAGGCAGCACAGAGTTAAGGTGAGGGTGGGTATATGGGTATACATGTTATACTGTGTTCACATCCTGAAGATGCTTTGCCCACAAGGTTTGGCAATCAAGAATGGCACAGAAACATCTACCCACTGTTGGTAATGGTCCGGCTGGCCAATCCTCATAGGAGATGGTCCGCCTGTGCATGACCCCCTTAACTCTGTACCACATTCAGCTCATGTGAATAAGACTATTCCTTTGGACGACTCACTCCTTGTGTATGAACCATTCTAGATTGTGAAACTGTGTTTGGAATGTAGATTGGCTGCAGGAAGTCAACATTGTTTGACATGTATACTATACCTTACCCCTTATCTCATGTTCTGCATTCAGCTTCGAAGAATAAGACTATTCCTTTTGGGAATCTACTCTATGCATTGAAATAACATATTCTAGATAGTCAAACAGTGTGGGCAAAGAATATTGGTTTCAGCAGTTGAATAACATGTTTTGCAAAGAAGCCTGTGAGTAAATCTTGTCTCGCATATCCTGGCCTAACTATGTACCTTTGGACACTAGGAAATCAATACTAGACTCTATGAATGAAGGGCTTCCAGACGTTACCACATTTCCACATATAGTAATTCAACAGCCTGGCCGGTTTTGCCCACCAGCCGGCCATTTTTGCCCACCAGCCGGCCATTTTTTGCCGAGCACCGGCTGTTTTTGCCGGCCGGTGAAGTAGAAGCTTCGGCCGGTCAATCCAAAGCTTTGGCCGGTGAAGAAAAGCTTCGGCCAATGAAGTAAAAGCTTTGGCCAATGAAGTAAAAGCTTCGGCCAATGAACTAAAATGCCCGTCCAATGTTTTGAAATGTCTGGCCTATTGATTTGGCCCTGTAGGGACAACCTGGCTAATTTTATGGCCAGTAAAGCAAAAACCTGGGTGAGTGAAATCTCTGGCCAGTTAATTTGGCCAGCCAGTGGGGCTGTTTTGTGTTTTGCAGCTTCACTAGGCATCCCTAAGTCATGGGAAAATTATGCTGTGATCTACTAATGATGGTATACCCTATAGGTGCATAATACATATAGTATTTCACTAGCCCCCAGGGGGCTGTGACCGGCTGGACCATTTGAAGCAGGACAACTCCTGACCGGCCGGCCTGTTCGTGGAGTCAGTTTGTTTAGGCTGGCCAACCCATTCTGGACCAGATAGACTTCACTCCGGCCGGTCCACTTGCAATGAAGGGATTTTATCCTGGCCGGAACATTTGAAGTGGTGGGGCCTGAGTCCGGCCGCTCTGTTTGCAACGTGGACCGGCCGGCCGCTCCGTTGCATGTGCTAACCCTGCCCTCCACCCGGCCTGTTTGCAGTGATGTTGTATGGGTCCGGCCGGACCGTTGCCTATCCAGCCGGACTGTTTACAACAGGTACATTACCCCGGCCAAAAGCCCGGCTGGCCTGTTGCAAGCGGTGCATTGTTGCTAACGGTAGACCTGGACTACTGCGGCCGGAGGCGGCTCTACCGTTTGCAACGGTCAAAATGCACTCCGGCTGTACCGTTAACAGCGAGGTTTTCCACTGAATGGGCTCTTTCCATCCCCCTTGTAGGGGTGCTGGACTGGCTCCAGACCAAGGGCACCATACCTGGGCCATCCCAGCAGCCCGCGCTCGCCCAGGTATTCCCGTACTTCAACCCATACCAATTGCCGAGGGACCCAGACGAGTGGACTTCCTTCGACCAATACAAACCCACGATGCAATCGTTTCTCCCCGTGCGGATTGAGGATGCTTTCCCCATCAAGTTCAATCCGCGATGGATCACCGCCCCCCCAATCCTCAAGGTCTCTGGCATTGATGTGACCATGGCCCTATTCGACTGCGCCAACGGGGAGTTTGCGATGGACACGATGTGCTTGATGAAGCACAAGTTCATCAAGTACAAGTGGCTCTGGCCGGTTGGCGTGCCAGAGCTGCGCAAGGTTATGGACGCGGAATGGAGCATCCTTTGGATGCCGGACGGTGAGGACAAGTATGTCAACCTTGTCATCCGCAGTCCGCCCGCTGCTGGGAGCACCTGGGTGCCTGGTCCATTGGGCCTTGGATGGGACTTTGGTGGGCGGGGCCAACAAACAGAACACAATGGAGGCTGATGTTGAGGACAAGAAGGACGAGGACATTGCCTTGGACAAGGACGTGGAGTTGGACCGTGAGCTGGGCTGGTGGTAGCCGGGCTGGTGGGAGCACAACTGGGAGATGTACGGTCACGGCGTCTGGCCGGTCTACCACTGGCAGTAGGGCAAGGAACATTCTGCATATGTGGTACTCTTTCAGCTGCATTCGTCCAGGACTCCTGCAGCCCAGTTACGATCCCTGAGGTACGAAGGAATCGTTCTTATGACTGGAGAGAATGTAACACTTAGCATGGAGCCCAATGTGGCAGGTTTTGCCCACAGTGCATGTGACTGTTTGAGCGCCACATAATCAAAGATAAGTAACACTTACTATGCCATCATTAGCTGAGTTTCAAATTTCAGACTCCCAGACGACATGACTTGCACCAACACCTGCAAACAAATGCTGTGGCTGACAATTCCCCATGGACTTGGGACTCCTGTAACGTCTAGCTTGGAGCCCAATATGGAAAGTGGTGAACATGGCATGTGACCTCACCAGCGACACTGGGCTCCAATAGAATCAATCACTTTTTGCAACAGTAAGCACCCACAAATGGATATGGCTATTATAAGGCAACTTGTAGCCCTTGTTTCATAGAGTCTACAGTAATTTTGTTGGGCCCCAATAGTGGCTAGTTAGGCCAGGAAATGCAAAATACAAAAGAAAACACAAGAGACTTTGCAGAATTTGAACTGCTTATTTTCACCCCAGATGTGGAGCACATGACCTATACAGTGTAGCCATGTGTGTCAGACATCATGAAAATGCTTTATGGTGCCACAACAGAGCTCAGAATGGGCAAGGTTGGCTGATTTCATGCTTGCACAAGGTATTATAGCTTACATTCCATATATGGTAACATATTGTAAATGGCACATCCGTCATAAACATTTCATAGTGTTCTATGAATATCTTCTGATTTATCTGCAATTTATGAACCACCAGACATTCACTTTATGAAGAATTACTGGATTTGGAAGGTTGCTCACCATTTAGGGCATTGTGAGCTTTTGTGATACTTCTTGTGCAATAAGCCCTCCCACAACTTGCCTGAAATGTACATTTCCATGGCTCACATTAGCTACACATCACTATCTTTGTATACATGTCTCTTTTGTACCAGAACAGGCACAATAGCCACTAGCCAGTCACATGACCAATGACGTGGGGTCGCAACACTCGCAGCGGTGTTTTCGCTGCAACCCCACGTCATTGGTCATGTGACTTCGAAAAAGCAGTACAAAATGCGCAGAATATTCATTCTGAGGACAAAACCTGCTGATTTGGGCCCAGAAAAATCACATAAATCCCCAATAAACTGGGGGACCTCTCTGTAGCTATCTTAAAGTACTTCAACATTGTATGATACCAATTTGTCTACAATCACAGGTGCCACAAGGCTGCCAATCAGCTTTCATGACACAATAATAACAGTACCACATTGAGTGTTACCTGTGGCCACTCTATGATATCTTGGAGTGAATGCTCAAGATGAGAGCACAATGTTTGATGTTTGAGGATTCAGACAGTATGACATTGAGGTATCCAGTACATATGTAGCCTGACATGTGAGAGTATGCACATCTAACAATATCACTAGACACAGCCATGTGTGTGCTCCCAATATGTCTGATATATGCTCACAATCACAACAGAGTGGGTCTACTATTTTCCCCAGAAATTGCATTACATAGCACCCTGTGCCAATGAGTGTAGGAATGCATACTGTGCTAATTGTCATTGATACAGACAGAGAGCACAATTGAGAAAATTTCAAAGGCCAATAACTATGGAAAGATGCAAAATGGGTCACATAAAGCACTGTAATCCATGAGAAGGAGCATTAGCAACTTTGAATGTCTCACAATAGCATTTCAAGAACAGGACACAGGACACATAAAATGCATGTATGCTGACTAGGCCCACAAAGCATTGCCCAGTGTGAGATTGCCAATTGGGAGGGCACCTGCCATATGTAGTAGTAATCATGATTGTGTGATAGCTTCTTCACAGACCTCCTCATAATTTCCATAGCCTTCATATGGAACAAAGCATGAACATGTGCAGGATATTCATTTTGAGGCCACTTAACCTCCTTGTGTAGGCTCAGAAAGAAATCCCAAACTCCAGAAAATCAATGAAGTACTAATGAATGACATATGTGGTCATTTTGCTCACCCAAAGCTCTGGACTACAGCTGATCCATCTGAAGGAGTGAAAGACTTATGCAGACTGCCTGCTATTGTGCAAGAAAAAAACAGTGATGTTGATGATATAATTCTTATTTACAGGTTCTTGCTCTCCATTGAATATTTGTAACAATGTCTGGGTCAGATTGTTGCTAGTAACTTGTTACATATGTCTGTAGTGACAGAGACATGCTATGGAATGGTGTTGGGACAAGTGATGAGGAGGAATACAGATGAGAATTCCAGTATACTGTATCTTGGCCATGTGACTGACTGTTTTTCCACAGCATGAGCTAAAATTCAGGAACAAGGATCATGAATGTACCAAACTTAACCTGAACAGACTTTGACATTGGGAAGGTCTAGGCCAGTATAGTAACAATTTGTAGGGAAGTATATGACTCCCTACCCAGCTCAAATGGTACAATGAACTCTAATAATTATCATTATTCATTCATTAGCATGCTCTACACAGATTACGTAATAGAAAAGTCTGCCAGTTTGAGGTGGTATCATTGTTCAGTGTTTGAGACAGTACATTATATCCCAGACATGATATAACAGGACAGCTTAGCTACAGTTAGGCAAGAGCAACTGTGCAACTGCACATATCATTGGGTAATGGCTGTATAGCAATATTGGCATAGCTACCTGGAATCAATAATTTTTTTGGAAATGTTATGGATTGTCTAGGACACTTAGGACTCAGGATTTGTGTTACCACATTAAGGATGATGAGCTGAGCCATATGAATGTAAACATCTCTGTTACTACTATGATACTCCCTGATGAATAAAATTTGGCTGGTGCAAGGTTAGTATTATTGTTAAAGCTTGACAACTGCTTGGTCTAGTCAAGCACAGAAGTTAGTCTCACAGACTAGTATGTATCAATACATAATACACAAATCATTGACAAGTGAGCTTGAAGTGATAATTTGATGAACCAGAAAACAAAAGACACAGACAACACAACTGGGATCGTATTGCCATACATGGCCCACTCCCCAGCAAGTAGCTTAAGTGGTCTTTACAAGAACATTGGGTACGTTTTTGGACTTTATACTCTTATATATGCACCGGAATACCCAAAAGACACGTTAGAGTACTTAAGATGGGCCTTGGGTCACTGAAGGCACATCAGTCCGCTGGCTTTTGCTTAAGCCGACACCTCAGAAGTGAGTTTATGTCACACAAGATTCCGAGTATCGGTGTTCGCACTCAAATTCACTTTGAGGCCCCAAATACAAGATCTACTATGTGCATGAATTACTACCACAGAGTCTGATATGCGTAAGAACTCGCCCAATTGTTAAGTAGAAATTTAGATGCAGTGTCCAGTACAGTATTAGTGTTCCAATCAGTAGGTAATTGCTCAGCCTTATCACCTACAGAACCAGGGAACACAGGTATCAACTGGCAAGATTGCCGTATAGTACTGAGGGGAACAATGTCTGCAACAGGCTTACCATCTGAGCGCAATGGGGATTTATTGACCCCATACATCATATGCGTAGGGTCAGCAGCCAAAGAGAGCTTGGAGTACCACTCTACATAGGCCAATGGCCCTTGTTCTGCCCATGATGCTGGGGCGCTCAAGGGAACGCGAGTGCGCGGGTCTGTAATATGCTCTGGAAGTCTGAATATGACTCTAACGCGTCCAATTCTCGTGCCTGATGGTGGCCATGATATGAGTAAGAATCCTCGACACAACAACTGAGAAACATACTTACCCTGTAGCCCAGTAGCCTCAGCTTCTTCATCTTGTAATACCACCACCGTATCAAATCGACCGGTTTGTTCTCCAAATGAAGGTCGCGCCCTGACTGCGTCGGTCTCGTTTTTGCCATCTGTCAACGGTTCGGGCGCGAACTTGAACCCATGAAATACGTCGACACGATCGAAAGGCATGTGGGATACTGCTGTATGAAGCTGAACAGGGGTGAGACGTCGATTGTTTTTGAGCGTATAGATGTACTGTGCTAGTGTGTTCTTGAACCCAGGTGCGTTGTGTCTCTCTTCAATTCGATCGAGGGACTGCATGGGAACCGTTGGATGCTTCGGCAGTTTGATGCTCGTCTTGCCAGTGTGTTCTACAGCTGGGCGCGCCTCATCGACATCATCATCGTCATTGTCGTCTTCTCGGTAGTCCCTGCGCCATTCGAGTCGTCTATGCATGGTCGAGCTGAAGATGACCATCTTCTCCTGGCGTGCAAGCCAGGTCACCATTTGTGGGCGGGTGTTCCGATGATTCGAGGCTCTCCAGCCATTCTTAGCGTAGTCGATATGCAGGTGTTCGAACACCTCGGTATTGTAGTTGTTGGTTGTACCTAGCAGGCAAATCGAGTCCACGTAGTGTAAAAGAGAGTGGAACTTAGGGATGTTCAAATGTTCTCGAACACCGAGATTGATGAGAACTTGCTTATTCTTGTGAAAAATCGCGATCACATCCTCCATGTATTGCAGGGTGGTGTTGTTGTGTGTGGGGTATTGTGCTAGGTAGATGAAATCAAGGATGGATCGGAATGCAATGATTGCATTCCGAGGGAGTTTTCCAACCAGGCATCCAAGGAGGATACACGCCATATACTTGCGTTCAGTACCGGAGACCTGAGATAGAGCGGAAATGCCATTCTTGAAATGACGAGTTCCGTAGGCAGGCGGTAGGCATCGAATGCGACGGTCAAGCTCCTGTTCATCAACCAGTTCAGTACACCACTGGACTATGTGTTTGAACACGCCCTGGTATAACTGGTGCAGAACATCGGGGGTGATACAGGTGTGAATGGTGGTGTACGGTAGGTCGCGCCAGAATGGACGTACGACGTAACCGCACACGTTCAGCTCATTGCACGCTCGAGCGTACGCAGGAGAATCCTTCTTTCCGCCGCTGGTATCGGTTGCGAGGTGCAGAACGTCCAGGGTCCATAATGATGTTCGAGATGTGCCAGGAGTGGGTGAATCAAGCTTGTCTTCCGGTAGTTGACATTTCGGACAAGTCCCGTACTTTGAGCATGTAACGAGACATTGCTCCGGGTAGTCAGCGACGTACGCGGCTAGAATCGGGTGCACCCTGCGCACCACACCATCCCCACCGGTCACATCGATCCCACGTTTTCCAGCTTCAACAAGCGGTTCGAGGATAACACGTACGGACGTGTGGAAGAGTTGCTGCGCGAGGGCCCGTTGCTTGTGTTTCGTAATACCATCCGATTCGATTTTGTCCACGGAGAGATATCCGATGAGGATACACGTGTGTTCTGACGGTTTGCGTCTCAGAGCGCGCGGTAGGTTGCCTAGCATCATATAGACAGGGTAGGCAGATTTTCCGCCAGAAAACTGTGTTAGTTGGGTTTTGTCTGTAGCAATTATGACAGGCACAACAGCAGCCCCGTCTGGCAAGAGACTCTGACAAACAACAAGGTAAACATCGGTGCATTCACTGACGTACAGCAAAAGCAATGCTCACCTGCACAGCATGCCACCAACGTCCAGTCCACATCTCATGGTAGATGTGATTGGTTCTTGAGGTGTCACTGAATATGCGTCTTGGACGGTAAACGATCTGATTTGCATGGGCAGGGTTGCCCAACAACGTTCAAATCACCTCGATTATGTCCCGGAACTGTACTAGATGTCGCTCATTGGGTCGGTCCTTGAAGGTGAGCCACCTCTCCTTCCATTCGGCGTGCTCTGGAAGCGAGTCCACTCGCTGAAGCAGGGCTCGTGAGTTGTGATAAGACAGCCCTAGTCATTCCTGGAACTAGGGCGCCACAGACGCAAAATGAGTTAGTACATACAGCTTGAGCTGCAACGCAATACTACTCACCCCCGGTATCTCCAAGACTCTGTCTACAGAGCCTTGACTTAGGCCCTCCTGAACTGCCCACGATGCGAACCTCCAGTCCATCTCGGACTGGAACGGTGCCCATGGGTTTGGCGCTTCTTCAATATCTTCAGGGCCTTTGTCTGTGCAATGAGGTCTCAGTAACCTCACAGGACGTAACATCGTACTGTATGCAGCAGCTCACCTGGTGGTTGCACCTCCCTGTCCTTCCCCTGCTGCTCCTGCCAGCTCCTCTGTACGTCTTCGTCAGTTTGAATAACTGTTGCAGCATTCGTATCTATGTCTTCAACTCGATTGTCTTCGTTGTCGTCCAACATGATGTCATTTCATCTGGAGTGACTAGAAGACAGTCCGCCAGCGTTTGAGGGACCTTCCGGTCTTGGTGCAGAGACCTTGATAAAGTCGTAGACGGACCCGAGGTCAGCGACATCCTCTGGGTCTTCATCTGAAGAAGGTGGGGAGTTGATGGGGGTCCTGCGACGATCAACTTCTGCGCGCATAGTCAAATCGCTTCCACCTTCGCCTCTGTCGTCTGGGTCAACATGGCTGGACGACCTGTAGGAGTACATTACATATGTCACTGTCATAAATTGAGAACTCTTACAGTCCTAGTCTATTCGCATCCTGAGGGCCTTCATCGTCGGAATCTTCGAAATTGTCGAAGTTGAATACCTCCTTTAATTTCCCCTTTTTATACCATGCACATTTTTTGCTCATGCTTTGATGTGCGGAGAGGCCCTGCATCGTGTCGAACCCTTCATTGCATGCCGAGCACGTTGTAGAGAGCACGTCTTCCAAGCTGTGTCTTCTTTTTCCCATAATCTGTGATAATTAATTCGTGTGAGAGTCGCCAAAAATTCAGAGGACAGAAGGAGAGACTCACATTAGCTTAGAACTAGAGGAGAAGGAGGAAAAGACTGTGCAAGACGTACGCATTGCGCGCCTGTAGTACGTTGATCTCCCCCTGGCCGGCCTTACTCAATTGACCTTCTGTTACATAAAGGTCTTTGACGTGCGTATCCGCGGGACCGAATATTCCCACAGTGCGCCTGCGACACTTCGTTGTCTCACCTTCCATCTCCTACCGTCTGCCTGACTCCTCAAAGCGATCCTACTGCTCACCGGCTCCTCATCAGCTTGCAAAATCTTTCTGGGGTCTGTGACTTTGGGTTGTCCTAGGTCAGACAAACTTCTCGCGCACGGTCGATCGTTGATCGTGGGTCGCCTAAACAGATATATTGACAACTACGTGAGTCCTACCTTTGCAATGTGTTTGCTCTAGCTCTGCGATCTACCTCTTGTTACGGACATACTACCTGGCCCGTAGCGTAGTGGCGTGGGAAAGTGCGTGGAGTCGCACGCTTCCCACGGCTCGGCCGCCTACGATGAGTTCGCATTAGGTGGGATCACAATAATAGAGGAGTCCCAATCCCTATGCTCAGGTCCCGGTCACCGTTCAAGAACTTCCCTGTTCTATTGCTTCGCTTTTCGTCCCTGCGCATGCACCATGGCTTCACGCCCTCCCGCTCGGCGTGTGGTCTCTCAGCCATACATTTCCTCTTTCTACGACACAGCAGACCTCGCTGACGGTGTGAAGTCGGTCAACTTGGAGTATAGGGAACAGAACTTGAGAGATCTCAGTCGCGAGGATAGCTTAGAGGGCATTGTCGTTTCATTGGACGACCTTGAATCAGACAGCGGTCAAACACACAGTGAGTGAGAGCCTCCTTTCCCCCTTGCCAGACTGCTGATCATTGCTCAGAGTACGCAGAGTCCGAAGGACATTCAAGTGCAGATACCGGCAATTTAGCAGACCTTGCGGACACTAGCATCAGCGACAGCAACACTGATCTGGAGCATTCGGAGGCTGTCATCAAGAAGGTATTCGGAGGCTTAGTCGACGATCCTCTGTGGCCGTATCTCCACGATGTTCAGGTGGTAAGTCACCACTATCCTACGACATACAATCTTAGGCTAATCGCACGGTAGACCGTTCAGCTTGAAAGCACTGATTGGGACAAGCTCCTTGAACTTGTGCAAGAGCATAACAACGTCTATCAGCTCTTCTCATGAGTGCTCCATGTGCGTCGAGGGTTCAAGCTGCGTTGGCTGAACGACCTCGCATGCGATAGCTTCCACTACAACTACGACAGCCAAATCCTCACCATGTCAACACCTACCAACATTCACGAGCGAGTCAGCAACCTCTTCGGCGACTTGCTCGCCGTCCGCTACGGCGGTCCATGCGTCCTGAGTCTGCCGGGCTTCAAGGGCGTGCTCACGGCGGACACAAAGAGGAAGTTTGTAGGTCCTCTGCCCACACCTGACGACCCTTCACGCCACGTTCGCAAGTTGGTGGGACCGGCGCTGTTGATACCGGATGGGGCCGTGACACTTACCTTCCCGGCTCTGTTGCAAGGCGGCAACTACAATCTGCGAGTCAACCACGGAGAGCACATTGTCGGAGTCTTCGAGAAGGGGTTTAATGAGGCGTGGGATCATCTAGTATTTCGTGTACGTGGTGAAGTTATCGCGAGTTGATGTTTAGTAACAGCCTTGACAGTTCGGCCAATACAGCAGACTGCAGACGCTGAACAGGAACCCAGACGAGCTGCCGGTGTTCATGCTCAGCGTCAAGGTCATCGAGCACCCCAAGTACAAATCTCCGCATCCGTCCAGCAAGTCCACGCCCGAGCAAAAGAAGGCGTTGAAAGACCACTGGATGCCGATCACCGACAGAACACTCACCGAGCGCGAACCGAAGATACCAGATGAAATGTTGACCGGTGAAGTGAAAATCGGGGATTACACGTTCTGCGGGGAGCTCGAGGCGTACATCGTGATCATCGGCTTCTTCAACCAGCACAGAGCTGCTTTGGTGGAAGGTTACCTAAAGCAATGGCCGGTGGAGAAATGGGTGGAGGAAGGTTACGGAATAGTGAGTCCTACAACGGCCTCTTTGCTGCACTTTGAGCTGACAACTGCACAACTTCTAGAAGGTTCGCAGGAAGTACAAAGGCGACGAGGCACAGAAACTGAAGGACTTCACGAACATCTGGAAGTCTGTGTTCACCAAGTACAGAATTCGCATCTGGGAGAAAGGAGGTGAGGCTTGGCGGGCCTACGTCAAGGCTCAGCTGGTGAAGGGCGTGGACGTCTACTCACGCGAGGGCATTAGGGACGCCTGGAAAGAGTACCTCATGTCTGCGCCATTCAACAAGTCGGAGTCGGAGGCGGATGAGCTGCCCATGAGCGATCTCATTGACGCCATCGCGGCCGGGGCAATTACGACGGCTATGGAACACTTCGAGACCTTCAAGCGACAGGTCTGTGGCTCCTCGCCGGATCCGCCTGCTCTCGAGATCGCCCAGGGTGTTAGTGTCGCGGACGAGTTGCAGGACGATGTGTCGAGTGTGAAGCGTAAGTTCCAGGAGTGGATGGAAGAGGCCCTCCAGGAGGCGGACGTCCAGGAGCCCGATGTTGACGAGGAGCCCGATGTCAAGCGTCCTCGTCAAGTCGACGAGGAATCACTCTGAGGAGTCATCGTCGTCGTCATTTGTATTGTCGTCGTCATTTGTATTGTTGTCGTCATTTGTATTGTCGTCGTCATTTGTCGGCCGGTGGTCGTCGTATGTACGGTGTGACCTGTCGTCTCCCGTATTCTCGTCTCCCGTATTCTTGTACTCGTCACATCATTTCAGCGTCTCCTGGTCGCCTGTGTTGTTGTCGCCACACATGTCTTGTATGATCGTTGTGTCTGTTGTACGTTTGTGTACCCATGTAACATTACTATCCATCGTGTTGTGTTCAAATTTATGTTGTTAACGTACAGTGACTACTATTGTCAGATGCATAACACTGGCTTAGGATGTGTTGATGTGTCCACATGACGATGCATAAGAGTGACGCTCTGTCTGTGATAGTACTGTATCAACTCCCTCTTGAGAAACCATACAAACTCTATTCTGCTGTGTTGCACCGCGACATGCAACTCACTGATACTGAGGCCCAAGAGCTTCTGGAGCTTCTTGTCACAGCACCTGCACTGAGCGATACATTGTCTGCCTTACTGGCACGTTTACAAGACGTCTATCTTCCGTACACTAGCAATTGCACCTCTCAATCTATCGAAGTACCTCTCCCTCAAGACAAGCATGGCCTTGACGATCAAGCATCCCATGAAGGGAGTGATGCACCTGGAATTGCGACAGGTGTTACAGAGCGTGAGGTTTCTGTTGTCGACTCACTGTTCTTGCTTACACTGAAGACCAGACACAGACGTAGACGCAGACGTAGACATAGACACAGACGTAGACTTCCCAATGTTGTCGAACACTGCCAGTGACTATCATAACGAAGCTGTGTCAGATAACTCGACAGGTGAGTCCTATTAAGAACAATTCTTGCATCTGATACCTAATCGTTCTCAGGGAACTTGGGCCCTATGCGTTCTCGGCGTCGATGCGCCCCTAAGTACACGCCTTGCCCAGTTCCAGGGAAAGATCGCGGAACCACTTCAAATGACGCAAATGTAGCCTTATGGCCCTTACCTCCCTGTCCTCGCGGAGGCATCGATTTCATTTGTGCCCCAGCAGGATCAGTGGAGGCTTCCTGGGAGGCGAGGATCGATGCGCAGTTCCAAGCGGCACAACCAGCAACTACCAATTTCATTGTTGGTCTCGCAGCAAACTTGGACACAAACCAAGTCCTGGCTACGTCTCATTCGATGTGTCGCGTTGTGTTGCCGAGGCCAGCATGTCGGAAGGGAATTGTCTTCCTTCTGAATCTCTGGCCAGCTTGGTGCAACACTGCGCAGCACTTGAACGCAAAGGAGCGGCACACGATTTCATGTCCATGGTTGCACTTATACAACTGGTGTATAAGTGCGCAAGGTATATCAGTTTCTTTACTCACCGATGATTGTTTCCTAACTGCTAAGGTTCAGTATTTCCGAGCCAGGCAAAGTCAACGTTGCGAGAATATGGAGGGTTCACATATCAAAAATAGTGGATCCTCCTCCCAAACCACCTTCCAATCGTGGTACACGTTGGGCACTCGGTTCGCGAAGGTAGCTGAAGGAGGTCAGTCGTTTCATCGTCAATATACAATGCACCTCACAGCCTCTGTAGGATCCATTTATGCTCTGATGCTGATTGCAATCAGAGGTTTGCGTGTACGTCTTGCAGAAGCTGAGGGTGTCGTTGGCGATGAGATAGGCAACATTCTGAAAAGGCCAAATACGAGTGAGTATACGTCTCTGGGCCTCTTGCACATCAGTACTTACTATCCCATACAGAGACACAAGCAGGACGAGCAGTACTGAACACTCTCATACCCTTGGTGGCTCTGCTGAGGGTGGAGTGTCCGTTGCGCCTTGCGGACTTGTTTGGTTCAAATAACGTTATCTCACAAGGAGTTTGGCGTACTCGCGTTGTGGTGATCTTGACAGCTCAGATGCGTTCTTCAAGGGTATTGCATCCAAGTACGTAGTTGATTTCCTTATCTAATGTCTGCTAGCCTGAGTTGAGTGATCTGTAGCTCGTTTGCCCTCCTGCCTCGAGATACTGTTGCATGGGCGCCTTGCAGTAGCATCGTCAAATTTACCCAAGCTCTATCGCATTTGAAGGTCCCGCCACTGAAGGTCTCAGGAAGTGTCTCAGGAAGCTTCTGGGGTCTTTGATTCAAGAGAATTGTCACCGTTGTCGCCGTTGACACCAATCTCACAACTTTGTGAACTGGAAATGGAACAGCCTGACTCAAGTGCATCTAGTACCTGCACAGTGATCAAGACGTCATACGACATTCTTCATGAGCGCAATCGACGCTTCTCTGCGTCCAGGGACAGGCAGAAAAACACTGTTTGGACGGAGCAGAGACGTCTGCTAGCAGGACAAGCCAGTACTCCCGCGACTCATCAAGTGCTAGAGCTAGATGTAAGTGCCTGATCGCTGTAACAATTCATACAGAAGCTAATGCATTGCAAAACTGTAGCTGCAGAACATGTACTGTGATGGCTGTAGATCGGACTACAAGCACTACGTCAAAATAGGACCGAATACGTTCGAGTGAGTGTGACCCTGCTGTAGTTTCAAGTCATGGAACTTACGCCTTGGTAGAGATATTCTGATTCTGGAGGATATTCGCTCAGATGCGATTGCCGGCATATGCACTTCCATGCCAAACAACATGCGCGAGCACCTGACCGACCGTCTCACAGCCTGTTTTCCTTTCGACCCATTGAAGACGATTAGCACCGCATCATCAATCGGCGACATAACATTTGAAGTATTGCACTTCTCGTGGTATAATCGCCATTGTACACAGGTAGGTATTGAATCCTAGCTTTTCACGCTAGAAGCATTTTTGATCGCCATTCCAGGGCAACACTGCCCCTACAGATGTGCCTCCATTTATGCTCGGTCGACCCAATGGACTAAGAGTCAACTACGCACAAATGTTACCGTACACATCCAAGGATATGCGGGAACACGAAGACATATATTGCTCATTGAGAAATGTCCTTGGCGACGTCTTTGAGTGGCTTGATTCCAAGGTGAACTACTACTACATAATAATAGTCAAACATTCGCAGCTAAATGGTTGATTGTAGCTAGCAGCAATGTTCCCGAACTTCTACGTCAGACTGGAGCAGTTCGCGGAAATATTACCGGGCAACAGCGCGCCCTTGTCCGCTCCATTCCTCGGTCTCGTGGTGAATTTAAACGTCGTCACCCAAGCACACCGAGACAGCAAAGACTACGATATGTGTCTTGTGCTCGCGGTAGGAGACTTCGACGGTGGGGAGCTCTGCCTCGATGAACCAGGCATTGTGCTCCCTCTCTCCTGTGGAGATTTCGTTGTTTTTCCCTCATGTCGCATCACTCACTTCAACCTCCACTACGAGGGACGTCGAGCCTCTATTGTTTTACATACAGACAAGGAGATCACTAAATGGTACGATGGTGATCGTAACGGCTGGGCTAACAACGAATCATTTAACTAGTGTATCAGTAATGTAATCTGTTCTAATCGAAGCAGTTCTACTCGAAGAAATCCTACTCGAAGAACCCTCATAAGTAAGTCTTAGAACCTGAGTCTCGAAGAGCCCTCAAGTTGATCGGATTCGATAACGCGAACTCCGCGAGTACGGCGGTCTTCGGAAACTGCGAAATCTCGCGCCGGGCACTGTGCGCTCACCTTCCTACAACCCTCTGCATTCTCCAAGCCCTCAAGATGGCATCGCGAACTCGCTCAGCGACCAAAAAGCAAGCCCCAGGACATCGCCAAACATCGCAAGCAGCAACAAGCGCCGGTCAGAAGGGACGCGCGAGACGTCAAAATACTAGCGTGTCGCCTGCCAGTGAGAGCGACGTTGCCAACGTCGACACAAGCGGTCTGTCCCAGTCCGATGCAAAGGCCTTAGCGAGACTCCTCAAGAAAGCGAAGGTTGCGAAGGAAGCTGAGGCTGAGTCCCATGTAAAGAGTGAGTGCCAGTACGTATGTCATCGGACAAGAACTCTCACACTTACGAGCAATCCCCAACCCTAGACACTCGCAAGAGGGTGGTCGATATGATGAGGGATGAGGAGAGTGAAGACGAGCTGAAGCACACCAAGAAGAAGAAGAAGAAGACTGGCAACAGAGACTACGATGGCGATGCGGATGCGGACGACGGCGATGCGGATGCGGACGACGGTGATGCGGATGCGGACGACGGCGATGCGGATGCGGACGACGGCGATGCGGATGCGGGCGATGGCGCTGTGGAGACGAAGGGCAGCGTAGGAGAGGACGATGAGCTGGAAGTTGAGGAGACTCGCGTTGATGAGCATAGGAGGAATCAGGGGAATCAGGAGAAGGAAATTCGGTCGCGACGTACGTTGTGCACAGCAGTGATATTTGTTGCTGACCTGACCACACCTCAGCCAAGCCGAGGCCAGCGTATAAGGGAGCTCCATCGCTCCCCCGAAAACCAGCCCATCTTGACAAGGAGGAGGCCAGTGTAGCGAAGTCACTTGGTGCGTAGAGTAGTACCGCGCTGTCATGGACACACTGATAAGTTGGGATATTATAGGTGCTACGACGTCTTCGAGGGGCAAGAGTAAAGCTTCGCGTGTCAATGAAGACTCTGGAGACGATGGTGAAGAAGGTGAACAGGTTGTCCGGAATATCAAGAAGTCCACTGGCAAGAGTAAAGCCTCGCGTGTCAATGAAGACCCCGGAGACGATGGCGGCGACGGTGAACAGGTCATTCGGAATATCAAGAAGTCAACTGGCTCCTCGTCTTCTGCGAAGAAGGTAGCACCGGTCAATCCGCCATCTCCGTCACAGGCCAAGCGCAAGGTATATATTGACGTGCCGATTGTGGTGAAGGTAAGTGAATCTCTGTTAGATTTGCTTAGTGCTAACCTCCCCTTGCTCAGTCGCCAGTGCGTGGAACAACCTCGAGGTCAGCCAACGACAAGGACAAGCCGAAGAAGAAGGCAAATCGATTCCAGAACGCCAGCGGCAGCGACAGCGACAAGGACACCCACAAGAGCTCCGAGGATGCAAGCGATGACGACGACGACGACGACGAGTATGCAGGGAGTGATGGTGGCAAAGGGAGTGACGAAGGAGGCGAAGATGTGGATGAGATCGAAGATGAAGATGATGACGATGGTGTAGTGGTGAGCCATCATCTTCTGGTACTTGGTTTGTAGCTCAGAGTACAGGTCTTGGCCGAGCCTGAGGGCAAGGCTAAGCAGAAGCGCTCCAAGGGTAGTCGAGGGCGCAGAGAACGAGCGAAGATAACCAACCTGCCCATCGCAGTCAGGCCCCTTGTCACAGCATCGCAAAACTGCCTTCGCCTGCGAATCGCGCTCAAGACCGCGTGGACGGCGGAATCCTCAGTGAAAAGCGGACGACTTCCGAAACGAGATGCCTTAATCCATGACAGCTTGCAGGATGCCCACGAGATACGGGATAAGGACGGCAAGCGCATCAAGGCATTGAAGACTGCTTTCCGATTGATCAACGGTCCCAAGGACGAAGAGAAGAAGAGTGCGAAGAAGCGAACTGAGAAGGAGGAGAGGGAAGAGAGAGAGCGTCTGGCATTGCAGCAGGATGTCTTCACTGTGGTGAGTGTGTTATTCATGCGCAAGGGCTGGGACTCTGATTGTGTGTAGGTCTGGGCGTCCGCATCGCAGTTCCGAAATGAACTGAAGAAGAAAGCCAAGGTCGTTGTCGACCAGATGTACGGCTTGCTGGGTTTGAGTCCTGAGCAGCGAAGGGGAGTTGCTGTATGGCTTCTTAGAACGCACGCTACGGACGTCCTGGAGGGGGGTTCGCGAAACATACCGAACTTCGTCTTCAGCGACATAGACATCGTCTTCGACGAGCACAAGCGATTGGACGTGAAGGTGAGTGAGTTCCCTAATGCATATCAAGAAAAAACTCTGATCTGTGACAGGCTACTACGTTCAACCAGGATGAGCCCTTTCGCCACGGGGCTATAGCTGAGCTGGTCTACCAACACTGGGCGTTGGGAGCGCGTCCGGACGCTAACTTGCACGCGGCGATGGACGAGTTTCGCAAGGTCCCGGACAACCTTATTGCCGTCGTCTGCAATGCTGTGAGCAGCCATATTCTAATCACATCGCGTGGTTAATCATTGCAGCAGATCGAGAGTGCTTTGACGGACGTTGTGACTAATGGCCAGAACTTCTTCACTAACAAGCTGTTCGCCGCGAAGTGAGTTGCGATGTGCTGTTATTGGGGTGTTGTACTGACTCATAGCAGGTGGGATGGCCTGATGGCGATCCTTTCGACGCTCAAGGAAGAAGCGCCTGAGCACTACAAGGAGACTAAGTCGATTATCTGGGCTCAGATCTCGTAAGTTAGTACATGAGCAGCTCATATGCAGGAACTCACTATCTATCTACAGCGTTCGCCTCAAAGCAACCACCGTGGAAGACGACACGTCTGATAACGCGAAGGGCTCGAGCTTCCTCAAGATCGATCGTTTGCGTGCCAAGGTCGGCAAATCGTCTCCTGTACAAGAGAGGGGGAGAGCGACCTCCATCAGTACGACACAGGCAGCGAGCGCGAGCGCGAGCACGGTCGTGAGGCAGGCGTCAAGCCCGAGGAAGTCTGGAGGATCTGGAAAGCCTCCGTCAAAGCCTTCGTCAAAGCCATTGTCATCATCCAAGACGGCCAGTGGCAAGACAGCGAAGTCTGCCGCCAATCATGATGTGGACGTTGACATGGACGGCGAAGGCGAACTCGATGGCGACGGCGAACGCGTTCAGGGGGCGCCAGAGGCTTCTGGTAGCAAGGTCATGGAGCGTCCAAATGAAGAGGAGCACGTCGTCGATGAGACCGTGGGTCCCCAAAGTCAAGGTACGTATTCTAGTTTGCTGCACAGAATATATATTTGAATCATTTTCACAGGGACGAACGTCTGAACGACAGGCCACGATATCCAACGTGAGTACATTGACTGGCTGTGTGGTTAGCAGGCTGGCTAATGCTCAGTGAAAGGGAAACACATCATCATACGCAATATCACCACATCTACTATCCCTTGGAATCGAACAATGTAGTAGTACGATTTTTCTTTGTTTGCTCAGGCTGTACTTGAATCGTCGTCCACATGTTGTGAATATGCTGTTGTTTGTTGTAACGATATGAATGAATGCTTAGCATGCTTGCCAATGACTAAAGTGAAATTCAATAACCACGTACTGAAGTAAATAAAGACCAATAGTACTGGTGCAATAAAGACCAAAAGCAGGCTGAGACAGTGACTTCATATGAAGGAGGAAAGTAGTTGACGAAGGGGCAACTGGCACAATCTTTATTCATGGTCAAAGACATCCCAAGACTTCAATGCACTTATTGAGGGCATTGAAGATTTGGACTTGTCTCAAGCGCCTTTGGGTACTCAGATACACTTTGGTACCTCTACAAGACCATTTAAGACATGTAGGTTTTTCCTGATGTTGGTGAGCAACACTACGAATAAGAGAAGAAAGATGTGTACTTCGGGCACCACCCGGTCACTATCCCTGATAGGACGACTTGCTCGGGATAATCTGCAATGAACGGCCCGAGTTGATATATCACTCGTCGGAAGTGACCGTCGGGGCAGCATACAACGTTGTAGGTTTCCATATAAGGCCGCAGTGGCGACATGATGTGCGCTATTGACACGTGGTACAGCTGTTTGCGGAACGTTCGGAACTCATCAGTCTCGGCTTCGCCTCGTGCAGCTGTGGTGAAGTCAATGAGCTCGGATCTCCTTGCTTCGATGAAGGAAGCCTGTGGCAAAAAGACATACCTTTTGGTATCGCCAAGAAAGCGATCGGGATATTTGCATCCTTGTGTGCACGTCTGACCGAGTTGTGGACATTGCCCACTGACATGTATAATGGATGGAACTCTGAATTGCCAGTTCCAACAGATACAGTCGTCTTGTCAGCGCCGAGGATCATCGGGGACAACATCGATCCATGGCTCTCCGGATCCTCCGCAATCTTCGTCTGTGAAGGGCATCATTGAGAGTAGATACACTTCGTAATACGCAGTACTCACTGCTTGTCTATACGCCCATTGCCCCGACATTGAGTTCGAGAAGCGTGTGATATTAGGGGCGCTGTACTCCTGATAAGGAGTCGTATCGAACCGGCCATTGAAGTCCTCGTTGCCGATCATGTTCCGAGCAACTTGTCGGGCATTGCGGCAGTGAACGACGTAGTCAGTGCGCTTCCACGACGGTGAGTCCTTGTCCACAGGCCCAGTGTAGCGAACTGTGAATGACTCCCACGGCGCGTTGACGCGACCGAAAAGAACACAAAAGCCACACAAAAACCCAACCGTGAGGTCGAGCAGTGGTATGCGAGGCCTCTGCGTCTATGAGATGTACGGGGGACTGTACAGTGGTCTAGGTAAGAAGGAGGAGGACGGACAAGACTCCGAACAACGTGGGAGAGCTTCGAAGATGTCGAAGACTGTTCGGAGACGAGGACTAAGCCTTGAAGGTAGGAGGGAGGGTTTCGACAGACGGGTCGAACGAACGGTGACAAGAAAGGCGAGCGACGGCAAGAGGAGAAGTGTAGAGCCTCTCGGGGCAACTACGAGCTGGCGAACGTACTGGCGAACTGACTGACTGGCTTCGAACGTACTGACTGACTGGCTAACTTGCTGACTTCGAAAGTACTGGCTGACTGACGAACCTTGCCGGTGCGAGGTGAGATTGAGAGGGTAAGGGGGTCTCTGAGATTCGAAGGGAACAAATTCGAAGGGAACAAATCCCAGAGTATATACAGGAAAATACGGTCCGAAGACCAAGAGAGCCAAGAGAAATCCAAGAACTGAGGAATGAGAGTGATAAGGAAAATAGCCAATCGGAGACTGTCACAGCGCTCGACCCGGACCTACTAACACATGAGAGAACCCAACTCGGCCTTCCGCAAGTTCCGAATAACGGGCGACCGTCCCCGAACGGCGAAGGTCATAACCGGAGCCGGTGACAGTCCTCGAGGATATGAGACAGCCGCAGGAGTTCGCCTGACTTACACGAACATGCCGCACCTCGACCCAACTTCCGAAGCGTATGCTGCCCGCTATTATCGCCTCCTAGAGGTCCTCAAGACCAAGGGACTTGTCGAACCGCGATACAATGCCAACAGTCCCGGAGAGTGGCTGGCTTGGGCCCACGGAGTCCGTTGGATGATTGTACGTGCCTCCGAACTTAGACTATCCTTCAAACCATCAAACCGACCTTTGAACAGTGCTTCTTGTTCGAGTCCCGTAGCCGGGTCATCCTGCTAGCGAACGATACACTTCCTGCTCCAAGGTCGTTCCCTGAGATCAACGAGTTGATGTGTTACCTCGACGAGGTCTTTCACCGCGATGGCAACCACAATGGTCGAGGGGTTCGGGGGAACGTCGGCAGGCATCGAGGACTTCAAAGACAGTGGGGCAGTGGATGGACAAGGAGAGCGGGCTTGCGGAAGGGGATCTACAGGTGCGGAAGGAGTAGGGGCAGAGGGGAACGGGTGCCAGCAAGGCAGGAACATGGGAATGGTGGCGGAAGGGGGCTTAGAGGACGGGGCGGGAGGAGGAGTTAGTTACCTACCACAACCTCTCAGGACTCCGTATCTAGGTTGCACCGGGCAATCTCAGGCTTCAGGTCTCGTCTCAGGCAGAAGTTCAGGCTAAGGAAGGTCGTCAAGGTTAGGCTCAGGCTCAGGAACAAGGAAGGTTCAGGCTTAGGACCGTCGGAAGGAAGATCATCGAGCCCAGTAGTAGGCTTAGGAACATCAGGAAAAACTGCCCGGGTGTCCAAGCACTTGTAGATCCCATGAGACCAGTTGTAGAGCGGACAGACCAGCTCTCGAGCAGACATAGGCGCCCAGTACTCTACAAGACAAGTCCCTCGGTCTCAAGTGCATTAGATTTCATTTTTCATGTCTCAGAGAGCCTATCAATTTATTGAATCACTTTGAGAGCTGGCTCAACCAAACAATCTTTGTAGCTTCCACACGCTCTCAGCCAGGTTGGGCTTACTATAGAATCACTTTGTTGTTTTCCTCGACCCCGCATTCCAAATCCAGCTCAGTATTCGCTGTCGACACATCTTCTTTGCAAGTTGTAGGGCACATCAATTATCCTCTTGATAATTGTAATACATGCACAGCACGAACAAGCACCTACACCCACTGATACAACACCTAGATACTACAACATAGATGGTATAGAGACAAGACACCAACGAGGCTAACACAGCAACCCGCAGCAACCTACGGTCAGATCGGTAACACGGTATCCTATCGTACAGGACAGATCCACGAACTAGGCATAGTGTCAGTCTCACATAAGAGTGATATTGTGTGGCTCCGACTACTTACCGTGTGTCCCGACGACAACATCTTACTTGGTCTTGGAGCTGCTCGCGACTGGAGCGAGGGGGTACAATACATGCCCTGCCTGTGCCTGTGCCTGTGCACCCGAGACAGCGGACGTCGATGCCTTCTTCTTGCCCCATCGGCCGAGAACTGCCTTCATGTCAATGCCATCATCGAGCTCCTCGGCGTTGCCCTCGTCCCTCCGGTTCTTGTCGTGGGCAATGCCAGCAAAGGCCCTGTGTCACTTGTTAGCAAATTTGTTTGATGTAATGGGGATGACTTACATGATGTTGGAGGCCATAGTGTTGTTCATTGATTTCACGAGCTCGGCAACACCTTCGTCGTACATCCTGCTGTTTGCATCCGCATGTCGTCGCAGCTTGTCTATGCCAGCTTTCAGGTGATCATGCCTGCCAGAACCAAGGTGATTAGCAGCTGAAGGCGGAACACTAAATAACTCACTCCATAGCATACGTCTTTTCATCGAAGTTCACGGTAGAATTGCCGGCCAATGCTTCATCGAATGCGACTAGAACCTGTCAATGTGTCGAATTATCTGATATCCATGCAGAAACTCAGGTACTCACTGCGCTACAGGTCAGAGCAATCATATTGCTCGACGGCGGCTTGACGTTGATGTCAAAGCGAGATCGGTTCTCGCGGCGGAGGGCTTCCAGGTGCTGCCCAAGCCACCACTGCCGCGCCATGATCTCCGCGATCACAACACTGTGGAAAGGCGTGTCAAGCTCCGGGTTGTCCCACAGCTTACTCATAGCAGTTAGCAGAATATGTCAAGCACTACAAGGCATGAATCTTACCTCAGGGGAAACGTCCGGGTCCGGCATCACTATGTTCCCGTAATGGAACGTATTGTGGTTGCGAAGGTATTTAATCCGCGCTTCCTTTGCCTTCTGCAACTTGTCATTGCGAGCAACCGCGTCGAGGCCAACATCGGAGATCTTGACTGATAAAAGTTCCTTCTCTACCACCCGTTTGGCTTTCTGCTTCAGCTCCTGCCGGACCTGTGCGGCAACTTTGTAGACCTAGGGGCTCACAAGATGACAGTCTACCAATGACTCGTAGCATGGTAGACACTTACAAACGTCTCCTGGAAATCATCAGCCTGGTACTGGGCGTTCTTCTCGACCAGCAGCTCGATAATGTCTTGAGGCACGTCGAACTTCTCGACCCTCTGGCCCCGTTTGCGGGGGCACGCATTCTCGACCGCGATGTACACACGGAGCTCTTGCTGGGCCCGCTGCAGGAAGCTCTTCATGGGCTCCTTCGTCAACGGATCGTCGCTCGACTGTGACACGGTGTCCTTCGCACGGGGAGTCTTCGGCAACACTTTCTTCTTGCCCTTCCGGCCACTGTGCTGGTCAACGTCCTTGATGATCAACTAGGGTGCACGTCAGTAAAGTCAATAATGGCCTCCCATCACCCACCCCATCATCTGATCCATGCACCTCGCCCACATCTTCCTCACTCTCGTTGTCCTTCTCGTCGGCTGCCGGCTTGAAAGAACTACTGTCCTCGCCCGAATCGTCAATGTTGACGGGGGAATGCACCAACAGCGAGTTGGTCTTCTGCTTATGTGGCCGCTTTGTACGTCGATCGGGGCTGCTGCTTTCCGTAACACGAGGACCTTGCATATGGCAGTCAGTCGCGGAGCGGGTCGCGCATCAGCATTGTAGACCGTTGTGTAGGTTGCGAGTCTCCCGGGTCGGAAAGAGACCGGAAGGAATCGATGGTGTCGGTAGAAACGACGGGCGGGGGCTGTTGGCAAGCGGATGGGAAGGGGATGTGACGATTTGGGCCCGGAGGGGACGTACGAGCTCAGACACTCGTAGGGGCACTGTAACACGGTCAGAGGAGGGTGGTGGAGTCGTCCCACAACGCAGAGACTCGGAATGAACGCATAGAAACTCGTTGAAGCCGGATGAAACACAGAGAGCCGGAAGGAAACACGGTGCTCATTGAAGGTGAACGCGGTGATCTATTCGCAACACAGTAAACACAGTAAACGCAGAACGCAGTCAGAAACGCAGGGAATCGCAGTTGAGCTCGCTCTCTACTCCTAGGTGGTAGGTAGGTAGGATCTCCCCCATCCGGTCCCTGGCTCCCTCCCTTATGTTCCCTCCGGCTTGCTCTCCCACGCCTCCGCCTCGCTGGCACTCCTCCCCGTATGTAATGTCGCCTCACTCGTCGTGCCCGGTATGCGCTGTACCCAGTCTCTATTCAAGGAGAACTGTCTACAATTGCATACATGGGCGGTGACGAGGTAAAAGGCTGAGGACTCGTAGGTGCACTGGCGCGCCATACGAGTCCTTGAGCAAACAAAGACAAACATTTAATGTAAGACATACCGTAACGGGAATATCCGTTACACCCTCCCCCACTGGACACGACCACGGGTCCCAGCGATAACCAGAGAAACAGATAGGAAAAGGAAAAGGAAAATGAAATGAGACATATGCAACAACCCAACGGTGGTAGCAATTGGCAAACAAAGATGATGGTGAACATTGTCATACATAACTCGATGGAGTTATGCAACCAGGAACATAGACTACTACTCAGACTCGGAGTAGTAGTCTACATCCTCCGAGTTACCCTCATCTTCGGCAGATAGTGCAGAAGAACTTTGGGTATCCTCCATCTCGGACTGCTCGTAGTAGTCGGAGACTACTACTGAGTTTGTCTCTTCAGACCCTGAACTTCGTAAGTACCACGAGCTATGGTGCTCGGACTCGGAGAAATACTCCGACTCAATCTGGTCAGGGTACCCCTCACGAGTGGTGGTATGAGGCTCCTCATCAGAGGAGTTATACCAGTCGGAGTCATCCCGAGGTTGACTGCAAGGTGGTACAACAAGCCATCCCAGCTTGTTGTAGGCCCAATATCGCACCATCTCCATAGGTAATGGTGCAATGAGCAGAGGATCAAACTCGAGAGGAACCACTTCCAATTCCCTCTGGAAGTGGTCCCATGCTCGTTGAGCAGCACGAGAATATGTCCTCGGTCGCGGGGACATCTCCTCGATGGCATGCCCACAGCTAAGTGCTGACCTCTTGCAGTGAGCCCAAATGTCCCACTCGCCAGCACCCGCCGCGACATCGGCCTCATCAAAGTCGTGGTCAAGTTGGTCTGCAAGGAGGCTGAAGCATTCCTCGCGCGACCTCTTGTCACTCGGCCATCGACTCACATTGACGGTTACTGGACGATCCAGTGCGGTCGATACTCGGTTCAGTCCCAGTACTTCGCGGCGCGAGGTACTGGCTTCCCGAGTGATGTCGTGGCTGCGACGGTCACCCGTATCCTGCACTTCGAGTCGATCACTCGATGCGCGTAGTACAGGTGGTACATGTCTCGATGTCCGACGTGAAGCTCGTACGTCGAGCACTACGCTGGACGTACGGCCCGACACTACATCTGGTCCCAATACACCATTGTATGATGGACTGGCCACTCGCGCCGTATCCTGTACCTCGCGCCAACTACTCGATGTGCGAGTAGCTGGCATTCGCGTCGAGTTCCCGTGGGTGGCCCGTACGTCAAGCTCACGGCTTGGCGTCCGTGTCGCTGCTGGGTCCGAGGCCAGTACATCTTCGTGTGATGTACTGCTTGTGTTGTGGAACGAGCGGCGGCCGTTCGAGGCCCCGCTCCCTTCCCCTCTCAAGAGAGTACCCCCCTCGTAGAGGAGGTATCTCCTCCTTGCGCTCGCGCCGGCTCGGTCTCGATACCATCGGTAGTCGTTGAACGTCGTCGTTCACCCGAGTCCGATGAATCCAGCCCTCGCGGTGGATGTTCCCTTTTATGGGCGCGCGACGACGCCCTGCATCAGGAAAAACACTTGGGGCGCCCAACAGATTGGAAAAACCTTCAACCCGTTGGGACACCTTCCAATGTATTGGAACAGGTCGAGAGTGGTTGCAAGGTTCTGTAACGTCTTGAGGCAGCTTCTGCCGTTTGTATAGCAATGATAACTGGTTCTACCATCTGGTTTGAGGTTTAAAATGTTTCCGCTGCTGGTGCACTATAAAGCGCTTTGGCCAACCAAGTTCAATCATTCATCAAATCAAGTCCAAGCATTGAACATCTCACGCATCAATGGCAAGTAATACACTGTTATATACAATCAGAACTACTGGACTGGTACAAATAGACGGACGTAGGACACTTTATACTATGCATGCAGTTTGGAAGAATAGAAACACATACGTCACGGTAGAACAGAAACGTGAAGTAAATTAGGCAGAGACAACTTGAATGTGGTACAACCCATCCGAACCGAGCTCCCAGACCTCCTCTCCCCCCAGTTCATCGCCATCAATATCCTCCTCCATTTTCGGCTGCACGCCCGCCTCCACGCCTTCCCCTGCCAACTTCACAATGCACCCATCCTCTCCAACTTCCGGCCGAATGGCAATCCGCTTGTACGAAGGCCACCCCCGCACCACATGCGTCCAGGACGCCTCCATGTAGCTGCGGCGCTCGGGGAGACCCACCGGCCAAATCCAGTCCAGGCCCATGAAGTTGTACTTCATGGAACACATGGGCTTCCTGCCCACAATCGGCCGGCCCGTCGCATACCTATGCGCAAAAACGGTCATCTGGACCTCCGATTGCCTGAAAACCGGCACACTCCGCAGAGGGAGCGTCAGGCGGATGGGGAACGTCTCCTCCATGCGATGCGGCCTGAACGTCTGCAGCGCGGGGTCGTACAGGTCGAAGGTTGCAAGGCTCTTCCCCTTCGGCACAGGCTTATCATTGTTTGCGTCCCGTAGTCCCTGACGCAGGATGGGCTGCTCGAGCGGCCCAGGGATGGTTATCTCCTTCCCAGTGGCGTCGACAACCCCAATGAGAGGCACTGAGACTGGGTCAGACCCGTCCTGTACGTTGCCAAAGACATGACTGTGAACAACGGAGCTATGTCGCAAGACATTTGAGACGCACCGACACAAAGAACAGCCCCTCAACCAACACTGCTCTCGGTTGCCTTCGCGCCCCGGGGACTGGCGTCGGACTCAGAAGACGACGTAGGAGGTTACCGTCCCGGTACATGGAAGGGACGGCGCCCATGAAGATCCATCCCCCAAACTTGGCTGGGGGTCGCGCAGCTCGACAGCGCGCTCCAGCATCGTGTCGACGTCGTCTGGATTCGTCTGGTAAGAACTGAGACTCATCGGACATTGATCGGTTAGGCACTGGAGGGAAAAGAATGAAGCACGACGCTGCTCGGATACTTCAGAAGTACTCACATAGTCATAGTATTCCCCGAAGTGATCCTTATCCAGGCAGAGCACCGTAACGTGGTCGACGTTTGGGGCCATGGGGCACGGTGTTGCGTATCTGCAGTTGGCTTCAAATCCGTAAAGCGTGTCGTCCGCAATTATGGAGAGAAGGCGACTGTCAACGATCGGCGATGCAACCATAGTGAGATGGAATGGGGAGTGAGCAAGTGTTGGGATGTGTCGAAAGAAGGTTGCGACCGCTTTGAAGACGTTTGAGTTGCAGATAATCGTTTATAAGCAAGTTCTCACCTTCAAGCGCCGAAGCCACACAAGGCGCTGGGCCACATCTCAGGCGCCCAGAAGAGCATTGAGATCTTGAGACGTCGCTCCGGTTTGGTGCTTTGATTCACCTGTGCGCCTCTTATGGGCCTGCCGTCTTATGTCTCAGTAGGTTGTTGTTCACCACAAGCATGTAAGATTTCAATGAAAGCAATCAATACAATAGACGTTACAAAATCTTAGCTTTCCCCCCACAAACCGCACCTCTTCCGTCCCTACACCCCTCTCCCATTCAGACTACAACGATGGGGTTCTCCGCGTCCGAGCCCAGTTTAATGAGCTTCTCCCAGCGCACCTCCTTGCCCTCGCCTGCCCGTCGCACCTGACACCCCGGCTGTCCAGGTCGCGGACGCACTGCCACCAGACCCATGGGATCAGGCATCCTCACCACCCTCCACTCTGCCTCCAGGTATTCGCGAGGCTTGGCAAGTCCTACCGGCCAGATCCAGTCCACTTCGATGAAGTTGCGCTTCATCGAGCACATGGGCGGCATTGTGAGCGCTCTGGCAGCGTAGTCCATCACGTACGGTGTCATCGCAATGCTCGAGAGCTTCAGCACCGGGACGCTGGTGAGAGGGAGGGGAAGACGAAGACAGAAGAATCGGCTCGTCTTTGGTGGACCAAACGTCTCCAGGGCCGGGTCGTAGATGTCGAGGCTCGGGACGGGACGGGGGCCTGATCTTGGTTGTCGTTTGAACGGGTTCAGACCCGGAACAAGCTGCATTAAGAGGGGCTGAAAGCTTGGCCCTCGTATGATCATTTCCGATCCCGCATCGTTGATCTCCCCCAGGAGAGGCATGGGGATCGGAACGAACTTTGTCTGTTCGTCACCCACACGTTTGTAAGTAGTATGCAGAGATTAGAAGAGGATTGCCACGCACATCAACGTAGATCTGGGCCTCCACCAGTGCTGTCCGCCCTTCCGCCCACGCGCTGCTTGGGGAGAACAGGGATAAACAAGCCTTGCCCCTGTTGGTCTCTTTCCAAAACTCGCGCATCATCCCCATGTATACCCATCCGCCGAACCTCGGGGGACCGCCTTTGAGTTCCTTCGCGCGCTGGAGCATGAAAGCTCTCTCCTGTTCGGACGACTGGACGCGACTGAGCTTCATGGGGCAACGAGAGTTGTTGGGCAATAAGCACTGAAACATGACATCATGTCAGACGGAAGTTGTGTTGATGAGTAGTTTGAACCGGTACACACATAATCGAAGAGCATGCCAAAGTGCGCCTCCTCTAGGCACACCACGGTGACGTGGTCAATCCCGCGGCAGACCATGCACTCCTGCGATCTTGCACAGGCCAGCTCAAATCCAGGTCCATGCTCACCGAGGATGGCGATGAGGTTTCGGTCAACAGGAATGGGGTCGACATAGCGTGATGGAGGTTGAGTTGAGAGATGTCTGAGGTGGCATAAAGGCCTATGAGCGAACGCCACCCTTAAGCGCCGATATCGCCGGCCACTCATAGGAGATTGTTAAGCTCATGGGTCCTCAGAAATCGTAA